AAATGTTTTAGGAACAGACCATGTATTTACTAAAAAAATGTTATATTTTTAATTTTTTTTCTTATTTTTTATTTATTTATTTTATTTATTTATTTACTTATTTATATTTTTTGTATTCTTGGCAGTTTTTTTGCTATATAAAATATACACTGCTATTTAAGTCATTCCACGTAATTTCGAACAATATATTAACAATCAAATATTTTGCCTATTATTATTATTTATTTTTTTTTTTTTAATTAATTACGATGATTTCCTTAACCCGATCCAAATTGCAGGAAATAACTTAAATTGTAATATCAAACCTTTGCTGGTCGCTTGCTCTCGGGTGATTCGGTTCGGTTGGGGGAAAGCGTTCGATAAACTGTGTTTATTGTCAATCAGAAATGGCGGTGGTTTTTGGTGGACGATTCTGTTCAACGTCTTTTCAATTTGTTTTCACTGTTTGTAATTTTCCCTACAAAAACGGCTGTGAAAATTTGAATGAACTGCGGTTTGTGGTGGTAATCGGAGTAGCACGCTGATGAATTTGTTGCAAAGTCAAAAAATTGCTTATTTCACAGCCCAAAGCATGCGGACGATGCGAATGCTTGAAATTATTTATTTGTTAAGAACAAAATTTTACAACTTTTGTGTGTTTTTAACTTTTATTTATTTATTTTTTTTCACTCAGAACACAATGTGGAAACGCCACTTTGGAGAGGAGGCTATTAATTTTCTTTAAGACACAACCGGCACTATCGAGAAAACGCGATAAACTGTTGTTACAGTTGCACTTGTAAAAGCATTTAGGCTCGGTCTCTGGGAGTCGTTGCGAATTCATCAATGCTTTGGCAATCGGGGTAGATAGCATCAAGCTGGCGATGTTTCAGTTCGCCTAGGATCGGTTGCAGCAAAAACTATATGTTTTATTATTGTCAATTATATAACCTTCAAAATGTATCATTCGTTGTATGTTGTTGCTGTTGTTGTTATGCGCATAAACAATATGGTTTACACAGGCACACAGTATGCTGTTTTGCAAATTATTTACTTTTTTTGTTGTTCAATTTAGTATTTTATTCGGAAAACTGTCTAAACTTGTTTTACCGTTTATACTAATAGGTATTAAGGTGGGTTTATAATCTCGTCGTTGTTCACATGGCTACTTGGAAAAATATGACATTGTAAACCCATTACACGTCAACTACTACTGCCCCAGAAAAATTTGCCACCTGTTCTATAGGCGCAGGATACAATTTCAATTTATTTTAATCTGTATAAAGTCTCCAATATGTTTTCCATTAAAATTTTCTCAATGGAAAGAAGTGTACAAATAATAAATACAGGGTAAGATAAAAAACTGCAACAAAGTCAAACGCCATAATTTTTACATTTTTTTTAAATGTTATTGAATGAAAGCAAAAAATGTCGAAAATAGCATAAAATTTTAGAGCAAGTTTAGATTTGTTCGAATTGGTCAACGGCTCTGCAGTATTTTGGCCCATTCCCGGCGAAGTGCTTGCTTGAGGTGATCGACACTTGGGTATTTTTTAGTGCAAACCTTGCTTTCCAAATTATTCCAGACAACGGTTTGGTATCCGGAGATTTGTGTGCTGGAAATGAAGCGATAAACCTCATTGGGTAGCGCGTGTTGCGTGCGATGGTGCTGAGTACTGTGGGAATGGCCAAGGTCTTCGACGAAAATGTTTGCGTGCCCAAGGCTTTAATACACCCTCCTGAATATTTTCGCGATAATATTCGACCATCAACTGTTATGGCGGCTCACCCCATCACCAAGTAAACACGATCAAACTGCTGCACAACGAATGTTTTCTTATCGGAGAAAACCAAATTCGGCTGTCCACCACTTTCGGCCAAGCGAAGCAATTCTTTAGCTCTTTTGAGTCTATTTTCTTTCTGTAGCGGTGTAAGTTCTTGCGCTGTTTTAAATTTCAATGGCTTTATCCCGGGCTCATTTTTCAATATTTGCCGAATGGAATATTGCGATATGTTTAGCTCACGAGCCATTTTTCGGCCACTGCGACTTTTCGAACCATTTTTGCTGATGTTGCTGTTTTTTCCGTCCACTTCCTTGACGTCGGGCTACGCTACCAGTATTACGGTAACGAGCGATGGTACGAGACACAAAAGATTTATTCACATTTAAATGCTGGAGTGCTCTAACGATAGCCACTTGTGGTTTTCCAGCCAATTATAAAGAAATCACACTATCACGCTTGAACTCCATCACGAATAACTTTTTTTCTGGAAAATTCTCACCAAAATGCTTTTGGACGCTTGTAAACTATATAATGAGCTATCACTGGAATAATTTTAACAACTGTCGGACCTGTTGCTTAGAAATGACGGCAGTCTGAAGTTGGTCGCAGTTTTTTCATCTCACACTGTTTTATGGACAAAATCCGTGCAAAAATGTGGCAAAAATCATCCAAATACCGAATATCGGAAGGTACCGGTATATGAGGACTATACCAAAACGTGGACCGATGTTTCTCATTTAATACCAACCATCCTAGACACAATAGAAATTGTCCTGCCAAATTTCGAAGCTCTACGTCAAATAATGTGATTTCAACAGCAAGACAGATGGACATCATTAAATCGACTTCGAATTTTATGCTGATTTCGAATATATTTATATATAAAATATATATGGGGTCTACGACGAATATTTAGGGATGTTACAAACGGAATGACAAAGTTAACATTCCCAACTTTCCAAGGTGGGGTTATAAAAAAATCACTATAAATCAGTTTTTCAGCTATAACCAGTTATTAAAGTTAATTGAGCAGAATTACAGGCCGCCCCCAACTTAATGTACAGATCGATGTGCCTGTCTTGGGACAAACAATAAACATTGCAGTTTTATTGTTTACGCATGATGTATTTGGCTGATGCTGTTTGATATGATGCCACCAATAGCGGTGGCACGCGGCTACATGCTCGTATTTGCAGGGCCATCTTCCAAAATTTTCAAATTTGGTCAAAACCAGGTTAGTTTACCTGTCACGAATTTTAATTTCTAGGAATACATTTCGAATAAAATGTATTTTTTGCGTAAATTCGACATTTCAAAATGGTGAAATCTTGCGTAATCATTTGTTATTTCCGAATAAATTAAATTTCCAAGGAAAGCCTTGATAGCGTATGTTTTTGTCATGGTTAACATATTGACCGGGTTCAAGGATGGACACTTGCATTGACGTCATTGTCATTGAAGCATCATTGCAATGGTTAGTTGAATACATTTTTTTGTTAATGTAAACTGATACCTAAGAAATGTCCTTGCTCTGTGCCGCATAAATGGAAATCCTATTTTTTTTTATATATTTCTTGACTTTTCTTTGTTGGGGAAATTAAGTTTGACGATGTAAATCATGTTTTAAATTAAAGGAGAAATAATATTTTTTTTTACATTACGAGCAAAAATCTATCCTGTAGCACTAAATGCTATATTATTCAAATCAGCTTTAATAATAACATAAATACATTTTGTAAACCTTTTTTCCACTCCTTTTTCACTTTTTGAGCAAGAAAAGCTCAAACAAATAAAATAAATAAATTAAAGACGAAATTATAAATTTATTGCATGCGATTGCAATAGCGGAATAGCGGATTGTCAACTTCAAGATAGATTTTTAAAGCAGGACATACATTTTGTACAATAATTGATATGATGGAAATTTCCATCGCTTTGCAAAGGTTAAGTTAACAAAAAAACTAAGGAGAACAAGGCTTCGTTCATGGTGGAAAATTGATGCGTTTTTGTGGGAGATCCCACCAGTAACGTGAAATTCGCTTAAAATTTACAGTTTGCACATCTTAGAGCAAGTCGTACACAAGCTTTGAGAGTTCTAGCTTGCAGACGGGCCGACCTAAAATCGAAATATCCTCCTTTTTTTAAATTATACATAAAACTGCAACCAACTGGTGTCATTTCTAAGCCACTCGTCCGACAGCTGTTAAATTTATTCCAGTGACAGCTCATTATAATATTTACAAGAGTACAAAAGCATTTTGGTGAGAATTTTCCAGAAAAAAGTTATTTGTGATGGAATTCAAGCGTGATAGTGTGATTTCTTTATATTTGGCTGGAAAGCCACAAGTGGCTATCGTTTAAGCACTCCAGCTTTTAAATGTGAATAAATCTTATATAACAGCAGAAATGGTTTCGGAAAGTGAAGAAGCGACTTGATCGAAACCCGCAGTTTGTAAACAAACAAAGAGGTCAGCTGATAGTGATGGTATGGGCCGCCATGACAGCCGATGGTCGCTCCCCACTCGTATTAATAGACCGTGTTATCAGAATAAATGCCTAATATATTGTCGCGAAAATATTCTGAAGGGTGTATTAAAGACTTGGGCACGCAAACATTTTGGCCGCAGACCTTGAACATTCCAACAGGACTCGGCACCATCGCACTCAGCTCGTGCCACCCAAGAACGGTTACAAAATGAGGTTCCACATTTCATTTCCAGCGCAAAATGGTCATCAAAATCTCCGGATACCAATCCGTTGGACTATTGTGCCTGGAGGATTTGTTGGACTATTGTGTCTGGAGAATTTTGGAAAGCAAGGTTGGCACTAAAAAATACCAAAGTGTCGATCACCTCAAGCAAGCGCTTCGCCGGGAATGGGCCAAAATGCCGCAGAGCAACATTCAGGCAGCGTGTGACGGTTTCATTTGCCGTTTGAAGGCCATAATTCGTGCCAAGGGTAATCAATTCGAATAAATCTAAACTTATTCTAAAATTTTATGCTATATCCGACATTTTCTGCTTTCATTCAATAAAAATTCTACGCCAATATTTTTTGCTTTCATTCAATAAAATTTAAAAAAAAAATAATGGCGTTTGATTTTGTTGCGGCTTTATTATATCACCCTGCATAGGAATTGCTCTTTGTAAAACAAAGGATCCTGTATATGTTTTGTGAAAATTGTATTAACATTTTCCACAACAAAAAGAAAAAACTTTTAAAATTAAAACAAAGCGCTTTAATTCAATTAAAACTATGGAATATATTTATTTTTCGTCAAATGAAATATAAATTTTCTTTTAAAACATATTTAAAGACATGAACAAATGGCATTTATACAGTTCGTTCCACTTGGAACCAAGTGGAAAAATACATAATCTCTCTCACTACACTAAAATCTAAAAAAAAATAATCGTGTAAAACAATAATATTACAAATAAATGTATTCCCTTATGTATCTTCATATAGATATATAGAATACACAATAATACTCAACGAGTAGTTGTAATGTATGTCCTTATTAGTACGCATACACTTGCAAAAATATTGTGTATGTAGTAATAGGATATATATGAATGTATAGCTTTCTTATAACTACGTCTATAGTTTAATAGTAAAATATTAAAAAATATATATATTCGTAAATGTTTATGTAAAATGACATAGTCTTTTAAAATTATGGAAGAACATTTTTAATCACAATAAAAGACAAAGTGTGTGTATGTGTGTGTGTGAATGCATGTTTGTAAAGATTAGATTTGTATATGAAGTAAATGTTATTTGTTTGCCTAATAGCAATGTAAAATGTGTTTTAAAGCATTTTTGTTGTGTAAATAGTTTAGTTTTCTAATCACTTTAGTCTTCCATCGTTGTGGTTATGACACATTTGTATGCAGTATATAAGGGATATAAAAACACAAACACAAGTGTCTTAATCAAGACCGACTCCAAATGTTGTCCTTATACTCGTTGTATACTGCATAAAGGCGACATATATATATGGGGATAATTTTATGAAATTAATCAGTTCGATTTAAAGTTTGAGTTACCCAAACTGTTGGAAGCTTGCGCAAATATATTTATGATTAATTGCACTTAAATGATTTTATTATTTGTTTGGCGGTTCCTAAATGAACGTTTAAGCGCAAGTGTTGGTACGATGAATGCTTTTAATCGGTTACTCCCAAATGTACTAACTGTTGCATGCAACGTTGTAAATATGTGGGATCTGGGAACATATTGAATTGTGTTTTATGATCTACGCTATTCCAAATGACAACATCCTCACGACCTGTTGTCACAGAGCGCCCAATCGAGAATAGAAGACGTCGATCAAATGCAATCTTGAGAAATCTCAAAACTTTTCGACCCAGTGGACAGTCGGGCAGATAGCAGACACGCGGAAATCCAACAGCAAAAAAAGCTCTACCGGGATGTGGATGTTCAGAGCTTTGTATCCCCGAAGCAATGCTGAAAATTATAATGTTTCATTTCTTTAAATGTTTTGCGATTAGCACAAATATTTACTTACTCATACACAATCTGTATTGTATTTTGACCCTCATGACCAGGAAGACTTTTACTCAATATACTCCAAGACATAGTACCGTTAGGTTGATTGCCAATTTTTTCGCCATATACAATGCCGCAAACTGGGCATTCAATAAAGAGATTCTAAAGGAGGGATGGAAAACCGTAAAATTTAGTTCTACCAAAAAAGTGTACTTTACATACCTTATTCATTTCATTTTGCTGGGCAATTATCATACCATTGAGACATTGTAAATGCATCAAATGTTGACACCGACTAAGGGCAATGGCTGGATTTTGCGCATTGTGCACCAACTCCTCCATGCACATGGGGCAAGGCTGCGCATTTGGCCACTGTGGCGGATCAACCACTTTGACAAAACGTGAGATCATATCACTCGCAGGATCTACGCCAACAATCGAACCCGCAATGGGCTGTTGTTGCGTTGCAGACGAATGAGAAATAATCGACGACGTACCAGACGCCGCCACAGAACCACACACCGAACCAGCTGATGGTATGGGTGGAGGCGCAGGCGCCCGCTCGTTTATCAATGACCCACTTGTGGATTGCATTGATGCTGATTGAGATAGTGACGGTACAAACACTTCATCGCTGCCCAATGAGCAATCCAAAAGATCATTGACAGATATGGCAAAGTTGCGACTGCGCAGGCTCTCCTTGCTTTCATGACTCAAATAAGTGGAAACCGTGTCCACACTAGGTCTACGATGGGATTTCATGCTATTTGTGTCGGTGTCGGAGGCTCGAGTTCGCGACCGCGAACGGTGCATACTCATGCGATTACTGTGTTTAGACTGGAGAGAACCTTCGGAACAACGACTATGATGACTACTCATTGACGAAGTCAACACGTTATTGGAATGCGCAAAGGGCTGCAAGTGATTGCTCGTAGTTTGGTTACTGCTAACCGATGAAGATGATGATCCTAAAATACCATGGTTATGTGAAGATGACGATTGTTGCTTGGAGCTACTGCTTCCAAAAATATTGAGATTATTTAAAATTTGCCTGAGATTCGCCGTGGAAAGTTCACCATTACGTTTTCCTGCTTTGCGTGAGGCATGTGTCAGAGATTGTTGTGATTGTGCTGCTGGTGCCGGTGGATGAGTCGTAGATGAGGGTAAACCGTGCTGTTGTCGATTTCCACTGGCCGAAGGCATAGAAAAAACTCCATTTGATGTCAGCCGATGCATATGCTGCGTCTGGTGTTTATTCTCAACACAATGGGATTTAGCTGATAATTTCGGTAAGGTGTTGTTACGTTTGGGCCCATAGTCCATGTAATTTGAGGGAGCTGCAATGAGATATTTTCAATAACATTTTTTATTTAATTAAAAAATAGGATAAAATTTTGTTTAATAAAATTAGAATTATGGGTTTAAAAAACTTCTGAAAGGTCATCCAGTTTCCAGATAATGTAAATACAGGAAGAATATAATGATTCTTGAAGAGGACTATAATAATCTTTAGATGTAAAAAACAAATATGGAGACTTTAAATAAGAACAAGTACTATATAAGAAATTTGTTTAAAAAAGTGCGTTTTTTGTGGTAAATAAATTACGGGTTTGTAGGTGTACATTACGGCCGGCTTAATGAAAGCTTGCGATTGGATACTCTTTTAGTATCGATGAAATATATTTTATTTTATCATATTAGCGACAAAACTTACAGCTTTTAAATTGAACTGTAACTGCACGCATAGAAGAATCGCACTACAAATTTATTATTACCAATTATTTCCTTATTTCTTCTTGCTTTTGGAACACACCACTTCACCTTACCCTACACATATAATCAACTTACGATTTAGCTGCTGAGCTTGTTGTGCAGTTAGCTTAACTAATGGGTACGGTGCCTGTTGTGTACGACGTATACTTCTAATTGGACCGCTTGGCTGTCGTGTTTGTGTCAGGTTACAAAAATTAATTGTGTATGGAAGACTTGATGTTCCGCAGAGATCAAGCGTCTGTTCACCCTGTACAAAGAAAAAATCGAAAATTTGCAAAAAACCACATAAAGTCCAGTATAGATTACATACCTTTGACCAGGCGTCCTCTATAATGCACTGCACCTCCATATTATAAGGGTGCCAATCACCCGAAACAGAACCAGCCCATTCCCATTTTGTGCCCTTGCCAGCAGGTGAGCTGGGTGTGTAAAACATTCGCCTTACTCCCACTGTGGAGCGTCCTGAACCCTCCTCGGTTTCCTGTGTCATTGTTCTGACATTAACATAAAACTTGTCCAATTCCGGATCAGCATCACTTAGCAAAACCCGTGTCAATTTTTTCACATGTGCACGTTCCAAATGCTGTGACACAGCCGGTGTATACGGCAACCACTTTCCGCCACGAGATTCATACTCCCACACTACAACAGCATGTGTATTGGCTGCTGCTGCACTGCCACCACCCCCGCCATTGTTAAGATGAGCCATCGTAGTCCCAACAGATTTTGCGACTACCGATTATGTATTTCAAATACATTCGCCTATTCCGATTTCCACGTTTCAAACCATAGTGATCTGATTTGTATTGCTGCCTTGTTTAAATAAGACAATAAGGTTGTCAGTAATTTCCATATCCCACACAAATTGCATTCCCCAACTCACCCTCTTCTGCTTTGGTATCCTCACAATCGCTTTCGTTTCTTTTCCAGCGTCTTCTTTGTGTCTTTCTTACATACAAAAACTATCGATAGAATGCAACAACAACAATACGACGAGTACGAATGATGATCAGAGAACATAGAAGTAAACAAAACAAAAAAAAAGTTAAATAAAAATGGGGACTGACAATTAGATTTGGCCGAATCCCTTTCTGACGTCTCAAGATTTGAATGTGTCTAAAACCAACATTGTTGAGGCTCGAATGCGTTTTCACTCAACTCTAGACTTTGACCCTATGTATATTACGCTAATTTATTATTTAATTGAAAAATTGCAATTGCATCTATTATTGTTCAATTGATTTGACACAGTTAAGTTTTCTAGCTAAGGACAGAAGGCCAACAATAACCATAGGTTGCAGTTGAGCGATCTGTTCTACTTAGAAACTTGAAATCGTCCTGTAGTTTCCGTCGTAGATATACTGCATAATTGAGATAACACTGCGATTCCAGAGCCATAGAGCACAATGACATCCATTTTACATAGCCTTATTTCAACCCCACAGAAATTATGTTATTTAGTTGGACATGGTTTTAAATCCCGACAAAACCCAGAAGTCATTTAAATTATGTATGAGGAATATTTTTGTCTGCTACGTGTCCAATAAAGATCAAATCAAGCTTTTCTTATTGTCGTAAAAAAAATTAAATGCCTGCCACATATTGGTAACCATTTGGGTGTTAGCCTCCATCGTTTGATCAGTTAGACAAAGAACACTTTTCCTACTAATCAGACTCAACCTACAATTCAGGGAACTTACAAACTTTATGACTTTTAGATTTTACGATTCTCTCCTGGGTCTCCAAAGTCTCATACATAGGTTGGTTTTTGTTTTTTTTTTATATTATTATAAGCACATCACATCTCGCCGCGGCAATTATTTTAAATCTTGTATTAAATTTAATACTAAATAATTCACAAATTATATATTAATTTATTTTTTCGATCTACTAAATTATTCCCCAAAACAACGCGTCGCCATCTTAATAGAGCTGGCAATGAATCGACAGCAAAATCGATCGTATCGATAATTTACTTAGTAAGTAAGTAAGTTATAGCATGTTTCCATTGGAAACCGAACAACGTTGTTCGCTCTCAGAATTATGTACACGAATTAACCCGTTCATACGGCACGATTCGTAATTCATAGTAAAATAATTCCTTTTTTCAAAAATTTTGTTTGTTGATTTTAATGGGAATTCATACGAAAATACATGAAATTCTCACTAATATGAATAGAAGAAATGATTGTTTTTCTCCCAAAGATTTATTATATCATTAATTTTATAATTTTCATTCACGTTTTCAACTTTTTGTGCAAATGTTGACATTTTGAACATATTTTTGTATTTTTCTATTTTTAAATTTTGCTGGAGAGACACTTGTCAAACATTTTTTCTGCCGATACAAAGTTTTTGAAAATATTGCCTCTTTTGTTTGCAGTTTTCTGTGGAAATTTCAACTCGTGGATAAAATGCGTACCTCGAATGAGAGAGAAAACAAAATGTACTTTCGTTTGAATGTACATACGCCATTCAATATTGTAGTTTTCATTCATAATTTTCAGTCTTCCCAAAAATTTTTAAAATTTCATTAAATTTTTCTATTTTTAATTTTTAAATGTCATAATTTATTTTTTCGATAAATGCTCTCATTTGTTAGGGATGGGACATATTTTTTCGTTGTTCTGAGAGTAATTTGATTTGAACAACGTACAAATATGAGTGTTCGCTCAGGAAATTTTGTGTGAAGAATAATGTAGTTTTTTCATAGTTAAGGGTCAAACAACGAATAGAGAGCGAATCAAGTGCAGTGGAAACGCCACATTACTTTATTGAGTCTTCTTCTTTTCGATGGTACATTTAAATACAAAGTGAACGATTAACATGAATTGAGACTGTTAGAACTATTGTTGTCTTATTCTAACGTACAATGAAAGTGTATAATATGCTACATGCGAATTGTGAAATCAATACACAAAATGTAAACAATGAATGAAGTATATAAGGCTTGCTCCCGGCCTCAACTGTAACTAACAGTGCTAATGACTGTGTATAATAAATAAATAATTAACAAAATCTTAAAACTAGTTAACAAAATATGACATCAAAACGGAGTGACAGTCAGTGCTCTTACACAGAATGTGTAATTATACATAAAAATTTCTTATTCTTTGAATATCACAGTAAGTTCTCAGCTAATAAATCGAATTCTCATAAAGAGAGATCTACAGTATAGGCTGCTTAAAAGTAAAAGTGTATATATTTTGTAACAAATAATGAATTATTATAATTAACTAATTTTACTGATTAACCTCTGTGGGTTCCAGGTACTGATTTAATGTAGAAGCGTGGTAAGGTATAGTCATCTGCGACATCTTCAGTAGGTTCGTTGAGAATACCCACTGTAGACAGATATGACGAATCTGACCAGGATATATTTTTCTCGATTTCGTGGATTTCGCTTACAATATGGTTTTCGTGAGTAGCCAATTTCTCTACAAACTTCCTTTGAAGTTGTTGGGCGTACTTACAAAATGGCACAACGTTAGAGATTTTGTATATGTAAGTATTGGAGAATTTTTTGTGATGAGATTGATAATATTTGTTTGTGCATTTTCTTAAGACCTTTCTTTCCAGGATTTCCAATTCGTTGGCAACTATTGGGGAAATAGGAAACCAGATTGGAAACGCGTATGTTAGGATAGATCTAATTGCCACCTTATATAGGAGCAGCTTGGTGTTTTGAGGTAAATAATTGCTGTTAAGGATGTTTGAAAAACTCGCTAATATACCTTTAACTTTTTGCATGATGGAACGAGCATGGTCGTTGAATTTTAGGAGATGATTGAATGTTACACCAAGGTACTTTAAGGATGTGCTGAAAGGAATTTCTACTCCTTCTAAAGACAATTTTAATTGCTTGCTTTCTGGTACAACTTTTCGTGGGCATTTGCCCGACGCATTACGTATGCATATGGCTACCGATTTAGCGGCATTTATTTTAATACCCCATTGTTTATAAAAGTTGTTGATTATGTGTAGGTGTTCTGAAGCAACACTCATGGCAATGACTGGCGAAGGATTATGTGCGTAGACTATGCAGTCATCTGCATACAGGATTGCTTTGGAATGTTGATACATGTGTGGAAAGTCATGAAGAAACAGGTTAAAAAGGTATGGTGCCAAGATACTACCTTGAGGAACGCCGCTATTTACGTGGCCCAAGGATGATGATGTATTCCGGATCTGAACCATAAATTTACGAGAATTGAAGAAACTCTTTAGCATTTTTATAATAAATGGATCTACTCCAAGTTGAATTAATTTGAACAAAATACCGAGGTGAGACACTGAGTCAAACGCTTTTTGTATATCCAATGATATTGCAACTGTGCATGATTGACTCCTTAAGTTTGTTGTTACGTCGTTATGAAACTTGAGAAGTGCGTGCTGAGTGGAATGTCCAGATTTGAAGCCAAATTGGTAGTTTGATATTGGATCAATAGTTAATTCATTGTTTAATTTTTCTTTCAGCACTACTTCCAGTATTTTACCAATATTTGACAAAAGGGAAATTGGGCGAAAGTCATCAACGTTGCAATTTGTTGTTTTCTTCTTGATGGGTATGATTTTGGCAACTTTCCATTGTTTGGGAAAGTATCCGTTGTTAATGCAATTATTGAAAAGGCACGTGAGTAAATTAATTGTGGATTCTGGAAATCTCTTGATTATAAAGTTTGAGATTTCATCAGGGCCGCTAGATTTTTTTGAATTGATGTTGAAAATAATGTTTTTTATATTTTCAGATGAAGTAAAGTGGTATGTGTCTGGATTGTGGAGAGAATTAAAATTTTCATCGAATGAATATATATGAGTTGGTGTTGAGTTGATACATGTTAATAGCGTAGAATTATGCTCATCTGAGGCAGGAAGTGTTGTTGAGCCTTCAAATATGGTGGAATAAAAATTCTTAAAATGATCTGCAATCTCGTTACTGTTTGTAATAGTGTTGTTAGCATGGTTGATCTGACGGCAGAAAGATGATTTATTGCTTCCTGTAAATCGGTGTATTTCTTTAAAGGCGGACGGACTAGGTTTGATTTTTTGCAATCTATCATTAAATATTTGGGCAGTTTCTATTTTGACTAGCTCCTTTATTATTATTTTCAAGAGCTGAATTTGATTAGAAAGAATGGAGTACTCACGGCTTGTCCTGTTGCCTGAACGATGGAAGATTTTTTTGAGATTTCGTTGCCATTGATGTTTAATTTGTAGGATTTTCTTGATTTTGTCCGAGTATGGTAGGCTCCTATCCTCTATTTTAAATTTTTCGGAGTGTATTTCATGGATGTTGGAAAAATGACTCTTAAAACCGTTTAGAGTGGTATCAATCTCGTCATTGGTCAGGTTCCTATTGATGGAAGGCATTATTTGACGTGAGATAACGTCTATGTCCTGACGAAAGTTATGCCAATTAGTGTTTTTATAAGATATGAAGAATTGCGGAGGCGTCAAATCGATGTTTAAATGATCAAGTTTTAGGTCTAACTTAATGGGGAAATGATCCGAGAAAGTGGGTCTAGTGGATATAGTATAGTTAGGATTTCTACTGTTGATTAAATGGTTGCTGAGTAGGAAATGATCCAGGTAAGAGGTACCACTTGGATACGATGGGCTAGTATCGCATATCCTGATGACATCCATAGAATTATCTGATAACCAGGACCTCAAGACTCTTCCATTTGAGTTTTCGTAGGAGTCGCCCCATGTTGGACTTTTGGAGTTTAAGTCCCCTCCAAAGATGAAACCATCAAAGTTGCTAGATAACTGAAGTAATGTATTCAGATCAAGATCGAGGCGCTGTACAGGATAACTGCACGGGATATATACCGATCCCAGAAGGTATTTTTTTGTTGAATTGTTAGATGAGATTTCTATAAGTGTCGTATTAATGCCAGTGGCCGGAACGGAAACTCTCTTGAATTGAATTGAGTCCTTGATGAAAATTGCAACTCCAGTGGGAGAATTATCGTAGACAAAAGTGTATCCACTTATTTTGACACGCATGTTGGATCTGAGATGACATTCCTGGATGAATGCTATATCGATGTTATTGTGAAGTAGTGTGTTTTTTAATTCTATTTGTCGACTTCTATCCACAAGGGATCGTACATTGAAAGTAAGAAATTTTAGTGATCTATGGTCCATAATTCAATTTAACTTTATTAAGAAGCATTAAAAATTGTTTTTTTGCTTCGGTTTTTGACAAGTTTTTATATTCTGTTAGGAATATTTGAATTTCTTGCTCTAAGGTCAGCTCTTCAGGTTCCAAAAAAAGATTTGCTAACTTAAGGAAGTCTTGAATTATTTGTGGTTTTTTGGTTGAATCTTGGGGAATAGATGTGACACTTTTAAATAAGTTTGAAAAAGTTTTTTCCGGTGAATATTTGGATGTGTTTAATGCTTTAGATACATTGTTTTGAGCTAGAGCTCTGTTTTCTAATGCTACTGCCATCTTTTTTTTCCTGTCGGAGGCATATTTTTTATAGGAGGGACATCCTCGCCAGTTGGCGGGATGGCCTGTTTTTTCGCAATTAACACAGTAAGGTTCCGAGGTGTCTGTCTTGGACCTTTTACATTCTCCAGGAAGATGTTTGTCTTTACATTTAACGCATCTGTAAGAGCAATTGCAATTGCGTGCTATATGTCCGTGCCCTTGACATCTTCGGCATTGGACGAAGGTATCCCTTTTTTTGGGTTTCTCCCAGATTATGGATTGGTATTGCAGTTGGCGAATATGTGAAATTTCGCCAAACTTCTTTCCTGGCAATAAGCAAACTAAGAAAAGACCCGTATCAGTGTTGTTTTTAATTGATGTCGGTGTTCTAAATTTTGAGACACTGGCCACTGTTTCAGGAACTAACTGATCTAGTTCGTTTTTAATTGCCTCTGGTTCAGTTAGAGAGAAGAGGTTTCGGATTATCAGGGATGTCTGCTTTTGATCCTTGGGTGTGAAAGAGTATGACTGAATATTTTTTGACTTTAAAAGATCCATCATTGAGGCATGAACTTTAGAATCGGCAAAGTACAACTTACTTTTGTTTTTATTTATATTTTTAATTTTAAAATTGCACTGTGGGGATGCGGCACGTAATGACTCTACTAGAGAGTTTATGTTGACATTGTATGTAAAAATCGGTGGGCACCAAGAGATTTTTGGTTTTGGAGGAACATTGATTTTGGTTGTGGTCGAATTGCTGACAGGTGTGGAAATGTCAATGTCTGCCAATGCCCCCAAAATGCCGAATTTGTTTTGGTCCTGCGGGTTGTAGTTGGTTAATTTCTCAGCCAGATCCGATACATTTATTGATGATATTGCACTTTCTAGGCGCAGTCTCTTGCGTCGATAATTTACTTTAGAAGGGAGTGTGGATTGATAGTCTTTTCTATCGATATTATCGGACGAAATGCTAGTAATAGGCCTGCCTAGTCACTTCGTGCATGAAATGAGTTTTCCCTTTGTTTATTTCCATTTTGCAAGAAAAATAGAAATGCCCAGCAATCCAAGAATCGACAAAGAATGCAAGAATTTTGTATTTATCAAAAATAGAAATTTCTCATTTTTCTCTATTTTGTAGATCTTTTGTTTTAATAGACGACTGCCATATATATATGTCAATGAATAATTTTTGAAAAATTGCAAACATATGATTGCATGACTTTACCATGGTACAATTAAGAACGTAAAATTATGCAATCATATGTTTACATTTTTTTTAAATTATTCATTTGAAAATATCTCATTGTCAAAATTTATAAAATCCATTGTATATACAGAAATCAGAGATGGGAACCTGCTTTTTATTACAGAAAATGCAGAGCTGAATTGACTTCACCTTCTTAATTTCACCATGGACTTTACCTTCTTAATTCTTCCATGGACAACAAAGACAATACAAGTTACAAAATTCAGTTACAATTATTTACGTTTCTACGATTCTGTAACATTTTGCTGCAATATTTTTTAACATAACATTTATATATAACACAGATGAAAAATTTAAATACAAAGATATAAAAACAATTATAAGTAAATCGAAAACCAAGAATCACACAAAATATGTACTACTTATATTGCCGATAGAATTTTCAAATAAAAGAATAAACAATAGCGCTATCTATATGTCACTGTAACATACAAAATCCATATACTTTAACTGCGCCGAACACGGTCGAAATGCATGGCATGCAATTATGTGGTGTTAGTGAAAATTTGTATGTATGCGTCACACAAACGATGCATGAAGCAAAATCAAAATTTTTTGATTTTTATCGTGCATGGCGTTCGTTTTTGACGGGTATGCGGTGGAGGGGTCATGCATATTCTCATCTGTGACGTTTTTTATACCCTCAGCCATATGGCTACAGAGGGTATATATCATTTGATACGGCCAAAACGTGCCTAGTCGAAATAACGGTTTTAGACCCTAGGTCTCTTTGGACCAAATCCGTTTCAGAACATTTGGAGTCGATCTAGCGATGTCCGTCCGTCCGTCTGTCTGTCTGGCTGGCTGGTGCGCACGATAACTCTCGAAGGGAGTATCCGATTTGGTCCAAATTGGCTACAACGTAATATTTTTGTCAAACTTAGATCGAGTTCGGAGATGGGCAATATCGGTCCACTCCTTCTGGTACCTCCCCCACAAAAGGTCGAAATTTTCAAAAAATATATTTTTTGCACAGGAAGAGAAAGGATAATCCGAATTTGCTCCAACTTTGCAAATCCTAATATTTGCGTTAGTGCTAGGTCAAGTGTGAAAATATGCAATATCGGTCCACTCCATCAAGTACCTCCCCCACAAATGGTCAAAATTTTGAATAATCACAACTCTCATAAAATGTTATGTAAGAGTCCGATTGTCTTCAAATTTCACACATCTCAATATTTATATTAACCCAAGGTCTGGTGTTAAGATGAACAATATCGGTCCACTCCTTCTGGTACCTCCCCCACAAAAGGCCGAAATGTTCAAAAATATATTCTTTGCACAGAAAGAGAAAGGATAATCCGAATTTGCTCCAACTTTGCAAATCCTAATATTTGCGTCAGTGCTAGGGCAGGTGTGGAAATGGACAATATCGGTCCACTCCATCAAGTACCTCCCCCACAAATGGTCAAAATTTTGAATAATTACAACTCTCATAAAATGTTATGTAAGAGTCCGACTGTCTTCAAATTTCACACATCCCAATATTTATATTAACCCAAGGTCTTGTGTTAAGATGAACAATATCGGCCCACTCCTTCTGGTACCTCCCCCACAAAAGTTCGAAATTTTCAAAAAAAAAAAAACAAATTTTTTGCACAGAAAGAGAAAGGCTAATCCGAATTTGCTCCGACTTTGCGAATCCTAATATTTGCGTCAGTGGTAGGACAGGTGTGAAAATGGACAATATCGGTCCACTCCATCAAGTACCTCCCCCACAAAATATTGAAATTTTGAGTACCCATGAAGCTCATAAATCACCAAATTAACATCCGATTCCATTTAGACTTGGCACATTGGCCCATTCCTTCGGGATCTGCTCCATAGAGGGTCAAACGTTTGAATAACCTTAACACTAGTCAAAATATATTTAGATAATCGAACATAGGCTGAGGGTATATCTCTGGCGGCAATACCGACTGATACTTTTTAACTTGTTTTAAAGCGAATGAGTGCATAGAGATGTCTTAAACAATTTTTGAAATCACTGATGACACTTTTAATTCAACTAATACATTTTCATGAGTGTACCAATCTTTCATCCAGATTCTTTTATTTCTCTCACTGTTTCCATTTTCTTTCCATCTTTCCAATGTACCATCCGTTTTAATTAGTGAATACATGAACCGTGTGCGGTGAAAGCTTCATGCACACCTACACGATTTTGATGTCATGCATTTTGACCGTGTACGGTCCACTTTAGTGAGCGGAAGTTGTCTCATGCATGGCAACCTAATCACAGCGATCGGCGTATAGCGTCAAATAATGATTTGTCAATAATGACTGTTAATTTCATTCTGTAAAAAAAACATACACTGCATTTCTGATTTGAAGTAAACATAATTTTAGTTGAAATGCTCTGGGTATATTTTACCTATGTTTCTTAACGTTTAAGAATTTCAAATTTTTTACTCGAATCATGTTCCTTTACACAAAATATCAGCAATAGGGACAAATGCAAAGATTGGAAATTCTTAGTGGTTGTACATCTTTTGATTTCTATCGTAATATACGTCTAAGTATATTTTTGGTATTAAAATCTACTATGATTTTTTTACTATGATAACAGATTTCTCCTTTATGATATCGAAAGAATTGGAAAGCTTGTAAATTCTTGCAGGCCAGGGGACAGAGCGCTAGTTTCATTAGATATTCCACCTTTAAGTTGTTTCAAAAAAGTCCATTTTTGCAGATTCCTGCATGTAAAATACATTTATATGCAATATCCCAAAATCAAAATGTTCATGCAAATAAATATTTTTTTTCATCAGTTCAGATATCGAAAAAAGCAAAGCTAGTAAATTCTTTCAGGTTCTGGAACAGTACACTAGTCTCATTAGAAATTCCACCTTTAAGCTGTGCAGCTTTCTAAATGTAACATTCTTATATGCAGTGTCAATATCCCATCAAAATGTTAATGCAATTTAATAATTTATTAAAATAATTTTTCACAATTGTAAATTAAAATTACAGTAAAATGGATTGAGTCGAATAAATCAATATTTTTTTCAAAGTGACAAAAGTTGCAATAAATTTGTGTTAATCAACCGTTTTTTGTTGTTTTTTTTTGTATTCTCTTTTAAATTTTAAATCACTTAGCCGAACACAAAGAAAAAAATCCATAAAAAATAAAAATACGTTTCGATTTACGAAATCCACTCGATCAATTCCACAGCGTTTACGTCAAATAATATCCATTGATATTTGTAATCAAGTGGATTTAGTAGTCTAAACGAGCTCTAACTCGTTATTTGTGGTAAAAGGCCAAAGTTGTACCAATTATATGTTTTTAGTAAACAAATAAATTGTTTCAAGAAACAAGTGTTATACTTCTAGCCTAAAAAAAAAATTATTAATTAAAATAAATTAAAACTTATTTTTCGCAAATATAAGTTTAAATGAAAGTTAATTTTTTTTTTTAATTGATCGCATGTTTTGGTTTTTTATGTCAAATACGAAGCCAGAAAAGAATTCAAAAGTGGAGCAATGTTTAACTTCGTCGTTGTACGTTTTTATGTTGTAACCAGTACAATTTATTTTTCTCGTTTTGAAGTGGCTATATCCGTTTTGCTACGACTTTGGATGTTAGTGACTTGTCTCAGCATTAAAACAGTACTAAAATTCAGCTATGTATAGACCCCACAAAACCTCTTTCTTAGTTTATTTATGTATTTTTATTTATTTATGTATTTTCATAATAATTATTATATTTGACTTACACCAAATAATTTACGTCTGAAACAAATCTTTTTCTTTCTAGCTGTGTTCATTATTCACACAGTGTTGTATCTTTGGCGTATTGTAGTCACTATTTTGTTGTCAGAGGGCGCACGTGTAGAATATTTTGACATTTCATTGACATGTGCAGCGTTTCCGTTGTCTCAACTCCTTTCCTTTTTGACAGGCAGAGAATAAGGCTGGTCGATTTAGGCCCGCGCCAATATCTGCTTTTTTCATAAACATCTTTGAATAAAATATCACCATGGTTGTTAAGAAGGTATGTTTACCAAGTGCACTTCACATTTCAATAAGTTTTCTGGATAAATAACTGTGGTGCATGGAGAAATTCCATCGGAAAGCTAGTTTACTTACTTGTGTTTGTTTACTCTTGTGTTTTTGTAGCCCAGACCAAAGAAGAAGCCAGTGACCAAGAAGGTTGCCCCAGCTCCTTTGGCCGTTAAGAAACCTGTTGTCAAGAAAGTCGTTAATCAACTTTTTGAGAAGCGCCCCAAGAACTTTGGCATCGGTAAGTTTATTTGGAAAATTGATTTTATAGTTATAGTATTTTAATTGTGGTTTTTCGTTACAGGTCAAAATGTTCAACCCAAGAGAGATTTGTCTCGTTTCGTCAAATGGCCTAAGTACATCCGTATCCAACGCCAAAAGGCTGTTTTGCAAAAGCGTTTGAAGGTTCCTCCACCAATCCATCAATTCAGCCAGACTCTTGACAAGACCACCGCCGTCAAGATGTTCAAGCTGTTGGAGAAATACCGTCCCGAATCAGCCATCGCCAAGAAGCAACGCTTGAAGAAGATTGCTGAAGCCAAGGCTAAGGGCAAGGATGTCCAACCCAAGAAGAAGCCCACCTTTGTGCGTTCCGGTACCAACACCGTCACCAAGTTGGTTGAACAAAAGAAGGCCCAATTGGTCGTCATCGCTCACGATGTTGATCCCCTTGAGGTAAGACCGGCTTAATAGCAAAATATAAACAACGAAAAATTAAGTACTAAACAAATAGTGGCTAGATTTTAACGAAAATAATGTATTGACCTACGGATAAAAGAATCATCAGCGGATCAGAGAAATGAATCGATAAAATCTAACCAATAAGTAATTGTGACTTGTAATTGGATATATCTCATTACTTGTTTGTTGTTTACATATGATGTTAAACTTGAATTTCTTCAACTGAAGTGTTTGAATCTTACGAGATTCTTTCGATTTGTGGCAAATTGACATGCTGAATAAACAACAAACAATGCTATCTGTATTGTGTATATTTTTGCCTTGAAACAAACTAATTATATTTTTTATATTTCTTTTCTCTTATAGTTGGTATTGTTCTTGCCTGCTTTGTGCCGCAAAATGGGTGTACCATACTGCATTGTTAAGGGCAAGGCCCGCCTCGGTATGTTGGTCCGTCGCAAGACCTGCACTGCTTTGGCCTTGACGAACGTTGAAGCCAACGATAAGGCTAACTTCGGCAAAATTGTCGAAGCCATCAAGACCAACTACAATGATCGCCACGATGAAATCCGCAGACACTGGGGTGGTGGTATCTTGGGCTCCAAGAGTTTGGCTCGCATTGCCAAGTTGGAACGCGCCAAGGCCCGTGAGCTCGCTCAGAAACAAGGTTAAAAACCTCTGTGTGATTTTTAGTTTTTATTTGATTTGATTAATAAAATCAAACAATACATACAAGAGAAGAACTGTTTTAAAGTTTGATTTATGAAAAGAAAATAAAACTAAATTTAGTTTTTAAAGTAAAATTTATATGGTATTATTGTGGCGGGGAGGTAGGCTTTGTGGAACGGTTATGACAGAAGATGACTACAATAGGAAGAAAAAAAAAATAGACTAGAAAGGAACAGAGGAGTTGTATGTTTCCGCCAAAGATGGGGAACTTAAGAATGTACGTTGGCAAAACATTAAAATGCAAGTTAAATATTTAGGCTTACATTTAAAGAAGGATCGCGAAACAGGATGATAACATCATAAACATATATAAGGGTATGTTTAGCTTTTTTTTGCTTGATATAGACATCCAATATACATATGACTTGTTATTTAATATTGATATTGGTATTAAAAAAGCTTGCGGAAGCGGGCATCCACATATGAAGTAGTTTGCTTGAAACTCGATTCTGGAGTTAGCGTAATAACAATTTTTTACCAATTTCATTTCAAGTAAAATCGATTTACAAATGGAAGGTATTTTTAAATAAAATTCAATGCTCACATTAGATGCTCAAAAATATGTTTCTTTTTATCTAATCACCTTTACAATTGAAGCCAATATACAGTTCGAATGAAACCTTCGTCGTTGAAGTTAGTAAGTTACAGAAGATTTCTTCCATGTAATTCCACTTCGCACAATTAAAAATGTCGGTGTCATGCTTAGTTTTTTTTTCTAAACACCATTTGCTTAAGAATTACCTACGGCCGACTGATAATTGAATTTATATGTTTGACTGGAAAGTTTTTGAGGTATGTCTGTCGGAATAAACTTTATAGTTATACACAATTTTTTACATTTTAAGAGTATTTATATTATAAATGGAAATCCCTTGGGATATCTCGGAAATCAAAACAGATACCGAAAAACTGACTAAAAATTAGGAAAAAAAACATACCAAAAAAAAAAAAAAAACTCTACAAATCATTTATATCAGCATTAGGCCTGGATAAATAAGGTATATTTGTGCTCATGGTAGAATGAAGGAGGTAAAGACATGCAATCATATGCTTACATTTTTTTCAAAATTATTCATTTGACAACATTTCATTGTCAAAATTTGTATTTATAAATCCATTGTACATACACAAACCAGAGATGGGAACCTGTTTTTTATGTTGTGAAATGTGACAAGGTAAATTACAGAAAATGCAGGGTAGCTTATTTTAACTGACTTCACCTTCTTAAATTTTCCATGTTGTGCTTTATGAATAGCCGAAATGAAAGATTGAAAATGATCATGAATATAATATTTTGGGAAACAATTTCACATCAAGTTCAACTTTGTTGACAAAAAAAAAAATATAATTACGTGACCAGCATTTCATGTACATGGACATATTTATAGTTTTTGTTTAAATAAAACTTTATTAATTAAAAAATAATATTTGAAAACTAATGATTAGAATATAAAATAAAGCATTTTCTTTAAATCTTTGACTTTTCACTGACATCTCGCTTTGAACTTTGTATGGCCTCGTGCAACACATTTAAGACCAAGTCCACACGTTCAAAGGTGGCATTTTCACCCATTAGTCCAATGCGGAATACCTGTTCCACTGTGGGTCCCAATCCACCGCTGATCTCCAAATTATATCTTAAAAATAAATTGGTAATTAAAAAATATTTGATACAAGATTTTTGATCGGTTGACATACTTTCTCATTGTATATTCGGCCACTTTACGCCAATCGACTCCAGCAGGCACCTTAATAGTGTTCACAGTGGGTAACCGGTCATTGGCATTCGGAACAAACATCTCAAGTCCCAACTCGCTTAAGCCGTGTTGTAGACGATACGAACATTGCTCATGACGCTCTATAACCGATGCCAGACCTTGGGCACAAATTTGGGCTAAACTTTCACGCAGGCCGTACAACAGAGTGGAAGATATCGTGTGATGATAAATCCTAGAGCCCCCAAAACAATTCCAGTATTGACCAATGAGAGTGGCATCGAAATAATATACCTTAACTTTCGTTTTACGTTCAACAATGTGTTTCATAGCGCGTTTACTAAACGATATGGGAGTTATACCCGGTGGAGCACCCAAAACCTTTTGCGACCCCGTATAGGCCACATCAACCAGCCAATTGTCCATGTAAAACTCTGTACCACCCAACGAGGCCACAGTGTCGACCACAAAAAGACAATTATATTTACGACAAATTTCGCCGATTTCCTTCAGTTGCCTTTGTAAAATACCCGTCGAGGAATCCCCTTGTGCCAAAAAGAAGATGTTTGGTTTGTGCCCTTCAAAGGCAAATTCAATTTCATCCAACTTTAAGGAACGACCAAAACGCGACTCGACAAATCGAACGTCACCACCATAACGCTTGGCCATTTCTGCAGCTCGATGACCCCACAGTCCGGTGGTTCCAAGCAATACGACATCACCATCTTCGATTAGATTGCACAGAGCGGCCTCCATTCCAGCATGACCTGAGCCGCTTATACACATTGTGGCATCATTCTTTGTTTGAAACACATACTTGATACCCTCCTTTATGTCATCCATTATCTGAAACAGACCCATAAATAAAAAGGGAATTGAAGAGATTATTAATGAGGCTAATGGTGTTTCCTTATCGTTTGTCTCGCTACACTTTAATGCATTATTCCTGTGCTACAAAAATTGGAGTTAATAACAAAAATATAAAAAAAAATAAACGTTTTCTTAAAGAACAATGGTTATGGCTATATTTTTATTATTTATGTCTATAAATAGGTATGCTAATATATATTTATGGGAGTCTTCGTTATATCTTCAGATATTAATAGATAATTTTAAACCATAAAAAAGTGTTCTGTCCATAACTTTTTTTCTGGCATTTAGGTTTGCTACCTTGATTCTATCTTGTCTTTATTTTTTGGCGCCCAGAGACACATAATTTGGTTCAGCCCGCTTCTTATATGTTCTTTTTTTCTTTATGATACTGTCATTCCTTGAAAACGATTACAAACAAGTAAAAAAACATTAAGTTCGGCCGGGCCAAACTTTTAATACCCTCCACCTTAAGGTAAAAGAAACATTAGAAGAAATGTGGCACAAACCATTAAAATGCCGAATATCGGAAGGTACCGTTATATGTGGACTACAACAAAACGTGGACCTATAATTACAATGTTTCGCCACACGAACTAGGACCCATTATGACCCACAAATACCAATTTTTAGACAAATCAGTGAAAAAATGTGGCAAAAACCATCAAAATACCGAATATCGGGAGGTACCGTTATATGGGGACTATACCAGAACGTGGACCGATATATCTCATTTTCAATACCAACCATCCTAGACACAATGCAATTTGCTCTGCAAAATTTTGGCGCTCTACGTCACATAATGTGGGCTGTATCGTGATTTCAACAGACGGACAGACAGACAGACGGACATCGTTAAATCGACTAAGAATTTTATGCTGATTATGAATATATATACTTTATGGGGTCTAAGACGAATATTTAAGGATGTTACAAACGGAATGACAAAGTTAATATACCCTCCTTTCCAAGGTGGAGGGTATAAAAATTACCTTTGAGAGACCTTTTTTCAGTTTTTTTCCACGTTTATGCAATGAAATTGTATGGCTGGAAATTATTCTCAAATTGCTAGAAAATTTTAAATATCATAAAATCCTACTCTTTATTGTATTTTCAGGGCAACATTTAAGGAAAAACAAAACTTTTTAAGTCCGGTTTAGTATATGCCTTTAACAAGTGTATTAAAAAAATTCTGTTCTCAAATGGTCTTATTATTAAAATAAAAATAGTGGGACTTTAACCCTAAATTCCTCAGTTGCAACTGGAAAAATTTTTATGAATTCAATTAAACGATGAATTCAACTGTAGATACACCTATAAAATGTGCGAACGTTTACCCAGTAATAAATGAGTACATATTAGGTGTGTCTGGTTACTTTTCCTGCAGGAATTGTCCAGTAACTTCTTTCTGAGAGAGTAAGGTAGTTTTATTCTCTTTTGCAAGGAAAATGCAAAAAGTAAACAGACGCTATTCCTGCAGAAGCTTGCAACTAATCAGCTGATTTGTCAAAACAAACCAATTTGTCCCCCATAAGGAGAATTAAAACAAAGGAACCAATACTAATTTTACAAGTTTTTTGAGTAAAAATGTTGGAAATAGTCTTTCATTTTCTTATTACATATTAATATTTATGTTTTTCACATTTTGTAAAGTTGTTGTTCCAAAAACAATTGGTCTTGCTAATTACAAAACAATATTTTCAAATTAAAATCCCAAAAAGAAATAAATAAACAATAGAAAACATCTGATTGAATGTCGATGAATGAGAAGAAGAAGAGTTGCAAGAGATTGCAAGAAGAAATTTTTCCAGCAAGAATTTGCAAACTCTCACTGAAAGAACTGTCAACATTTCTCTCTCCAACCGCTCTCTTTTGCAGAACTTTCGGGTTAACAGACGACTTCCAGTAACAATTTGTAAAAATTGTTACAAATTTTAGGGTAACCAGACATACCTATTATTACAAGATATCGTTCGTTAACCAGTAATTATAGTCCGGTAAATTGGAGTGAATTGGCAAATACTCTGTTCCAAAACATGCAAGAATCTACTAGTCTCGATTTTTTTTTCGATATTATTTACGATTTACTCTGTAACAAGTAAAAAAGCTGTAAGTTTAGCTGAATAATGTAGCTAAAGTCATCAAAATACTGTTATATGGGGGCTATACGAAGATGTGGACCTGCACAGAAAATTTTCTATCTTAGGCTGTAGTATCCATAAAAAACTTTAAATACCAAATTTGAAACAATTACGGTGAATAATGTCGGACAGAGCTAAATCGACATAGAATTTTATGTTGATCAAGAATATATATATACTTCGTGGGGTCAAAAATGTATATTTCGAGGTGTTACAAACGGAATATACCCTTCATACTATGGTGGAGGGTATAAAAATGATTGAATTATTAAACAGACCTATTATTGAGAGAGTTTATGTCTTGTGAGAACATCAAATGTAAAATTAAAACAAGTTTGCGTCGTTGGTTTTCAAATTTCAAAAAATTCGACTGCGTAGGGGGCTTTAAAAAATAATGGATCTTTATTTAAATGTTTTACAGGTAGGTCCGAATTTATGACTGATATTTCAAATTACAATTCATTATAAACATGTCAAATCGATGTTAAGCTCAACTAATACAAAATTTAATAAATCTGAAAAAGGAATCCCGTAGTTTGATCAAGAATTTTCGTAATTGCTGGCTTTTCAGAGTAGTTACTTATGAATGGACAGAACCAAGGAATATAAAATATTGGAATATAAAATATCCTTTGTATTTTCTTCCTTCACGCAGAAAAAAACGTTTTTCAGAAAGAATTATATTGAAGTATCTTCTGTTTATTTGATTAATCTTTATAATTTTGCATCTGAACGATGACATTGTGTCTATTATTTACACTTTGTACGCTTTATCTCTGATTGATAAGACAATGGTTATAAAGCATCACTTTAAATTTCACATAACACTTAAATTTAGAAAAAGAAAATGTAGTAGCGAATCTCTTTTTCAGGCTTAACGTAATAGGTTTTTTTATAAAATGCATATTTTTTAAAATAATTTTAGCACATTACCTCTAAACATTCTGGATGTAAATGTCCCAATATTGGATTCGAGAGACTATTAAGAACGCGCTGTGAACAATTTGAGGGTCCCGGACCCATTAAGGTTTTATTCGGAACGTACAGGGAACGTTTTAAGCAGGCTGGCGGTGTTATTTCCATTTTGTAAACACAAACGTTAACTTTCGGTCAACAAATTGCGGCGATGAATTTTATTTGAATACTACCGGAGAAACAACAGAGCTACCGTCTTATATGTGAACAATACAGCCAACCTTATCACTGGTTACGGCTGCGGATTTGTTTTCGTATAAAAAACCAAAAATGAAAACCACAAAGGAATAATATACAATATTCGAATTCCTCCTTCTAGTCAGTTCCGTAGCCTCAAGAAGAAGTAAGCGAACTGAGTGCATGAGATACGTTTGGGAAAATTATTAAAATTTAATCTATTCTTATCACTTCACATAATCTTAAACACATTATATATTCGTATGTGTATGTAATAAAGTGTTTGCTCTCACATAAGACGGAAAAATGCTATAAAATCACATCTGAATAGGTCTTTTAAATGACTTTAAAATAATAAATACTATTTGTCAGCAAAACGGTATACACAAATAGAAGAATGTATTAAGTTCTTTTTCATCTAAACACAAGCAGCATTTTCATTTCTAATATTCGAACAAATAGTTTCAATATATTTCAAACAAACAAAAAGGCGTTAAGTAATGAAAAATTTGCCAAAATAAAAACCAAAATTGTCTAAAATGTAGGAAACTTCAATTTGTTAAAAAAATGATTTGCTGATTAGCTACTTTATTATTTGATAATGGCTCGGTTGCACTTTTGAGCAATTATTTTTCACACTTTTACTAAAAATCAAAACAACTGCAAAATTAGCAGTAAATCTCAAGAGCAGATGGGTTGGTTACAAATCAGCATTGCCTTTAGCCTTTCCTACGTACATACTTACTTTGATTGATTTGCTGACAATGATAACAAATTGAATTATGTATGAACTTATAAAAACCGGAATCAACATTTTATGACCCTCGACTATGTAAAATAGATTTATAAAGTACGTGAACATGTGCATCGCGCAACTAAATACTATTCCCAAATAGAAAATAACGTAAGATAATTCGCATTCGGAATACTTTGGTTCTAAAAACGTGGATCATTCAAAGAAAAAAGTCAAACATACAAAACTAAAATGCATTTTTTTAATTTTTCGGAGGAATTCGAAAAAACCCTGATTTTCATCGAGGTCTATCCAGAGGTCCCGAGCCCTACTCACAAGACATGAAGTTAGAACATACCAGACTTTTGAAGTCCGCTCGCTCCAAAAATTTATTTATTTACTTCTAGAATTTCCTTGTTTTTGAAAATGACACAAATAGGAATGATTGATACATCTTTAGTTTGTGCTATTTTGGTCGATCCTTTGTTTTTAAATGTATACCCACAAGAATGTTTTAAACTTAACATTTCCTTTATTCTAAATAGAATACTAATTTTACGCTTTTGATAAACTCATATCTTGACACATACAAATTAATAGACTTAGGTTGGCGTGTGGTACTTTAGGCCAACTTCATTTACATTTTTATTGACCGTACTACTTAATATTCTCAGTTTCTTCAAATATACAATCAAAATCCCTTGCCGTGACTTTCCTATTTCTCAACACAGTTTAGAAAAGAAGAATCATTTCCAATGTTGGCAATACTTTATTTTTAATTTCCGTTACTTTTTTGTTGTTTGAGAATTCAAAAACAATAGCAACTTATGATTCGTATCGAAGAAAAAAACAATATACTACACGAATATTATCGACGACATGGCGAAAATGATCAAATTAACTTTCACTAAATCGATTTTTGAACGCGTTTAATGCAAATATATTTTTTGGTGTGTATAATCTTAATGCTGGGCTGATGTGGCTCATGAAGTAAATAAAACTAGTTTTACAATGTTTTCGATATCATAAAGGAAAAGATTTGGAACAGAGCATTATTATTATTAATTCTAAATAGGTTTCTTAAACTGGGTAGTGATATAAATAAAACTTGTAAATCTTATACTGGACTTATGAAGTAAAACTTTGTTCAACGTTAATTAATTATTTATCCTTAACATAGTTCCGTTTTCAACCTCATTCCATCTTAATTCCGTTTTGATCATCCATTCGATTAATCGAGTTTGATTTTGATCTGCGTGTCCCTATTCTCATTGTCGTTTTTAGACCTACTTATCCCTATTCTTATTCCCATTTTTAATGTTGTCGTGAAAAAAGTCTGTGTGTGCTGTGTTTTCTTACGAAAAAATGTCAAAAGAACTGGAAATAATCGAAAATTAAACAAACAAATTCAATGTTTCATCAATATTAAATGTGTTGCGCTAGAAACTGTTGGTTTATAATAGCATTTCCATTTGTGCATTTTTATGAAGTGGTCGTGTAAAAAAGATGCTGCGTTGAAAATCGAAACTAGCCAGTGTATAATTGTAAATGTAAAAAAATCAATCAACACACCACTACTATTACAAAACGAAACGACACAAAACACAAATTCAAAAGAAAGGTGTGCCTCCGTGCCAGTTAACTCCGCCACCACCACCATCACTTGAACCCTAACTAAAATCGAATTGGAAAGTGCATAACTTGCTAATATTTTCATTTTCTTCTATGTTTAAAGTTTGTTTTTTGTTCAGTGTTGCAAAGCTGATGAAGTGGCTTGAAACAGCGAGTAATTGATTTGGAACGCATCGTTTACGTTTTGTTCGGTTTATACCACACGCACGGATAGATGCCGTTGTTTTTGTTGCATTAAGTACATCCTTAAAAGTTGAGCTTCAGCTTCGTTGACCTTGCAATGAATTATTAAATATTTACATGTATATATTATAGATACCTAGGTACGATACACGACAACAAGAAAATATTAATGAGACTTGATTTCAAAACCATAGGAAGTGTTTTTTGTTTGGTCGGTCTCACGAATTTGCGATATGCTATGATGCATCAGTAATATAAATAAATTTGTTTTTTTTCTTGGTGGCGGTGGTGCGTAATTAGAAATCAGGATTCTGAGAGCAAGATTATGAGTGAGACAATTTTTAACAGGGAGAGAGAGAGAGTTGGGATACTTTATTTCTATTGTTGTTGTTATTATTTTGAGCCAACGAAAACAAAAACAAGAAAACTAATGTCTTTGACAGAAAAGAAAAAAATCTAAACAGCATTTAATTATTAAAAAATCCTTTAATAACAAGTAAATTAAATTCATAATTTAAGTGATTAGCGGTAAAATAAACAAATAAAGAAACATGAGCGTTTTCAATGACTTTCAACGCTTGTGGATGGAACGTTTTCCACAAAGCTCCTTATCTGATGCTTGGGAACAGGATGTTCGTGCCAGCCTTGAAAGACATAAAGCGAAAATTATTGAATTAACCAAAGAATTGGAACAAGAAACCTTATACGTGGAATATTTGGAACGTTTACTATCCGATGTGGAAAAGTATCGAGAATCTGGCGGTGATCCCACAAGTTTGTTCGAGGCCGCCACTAATGCTGAAAATAGCGGATCGAAGTCTTCCAATCCAGGCCACCACTTAGAACAGTCAAGTGGTGGTGAAAGGGAAGACAGCAGTGGAGATCGATGCTCGGTAAGAAAATGTTTCAATTAACCAATAGTTCTACAAATTATATTTTACGCAGTATGCATTCAAATCCAAAGTTCTTGTTTTGAATGGACCAGCTTTGGATGAAGAAAATAGAAAGTTATATCGTTCTGTCAATTAAAAAAATTGTGAAGGGAAAATATTTGTTAAAGTTTGTGTTGTTTTTATCTATGTATGTCCGAGTTCATGAAGGAATCGGGATAAAGAGGTGTTCTGTCAAACTGAATCGAACATATCCAACAATTTCAGGGCACGAATGTAGTATTATAACATTATATGTATGTTAAAATATCTTTAAGGCATAATGAAAACCATCACAACATCAACTTCGGATGTGATATTTATGATTTATCCCTTCCCATCGATAACAAAAGGTAAAGGCATTGACTTACAAACATCTTTGTCAACCTTAACTTATTCTTACAATAGATTTTTTACTCTATTGCCGTCCCATGTCAAATTTATCTCCAAAGACCAAATTTGTGTATAACATTTAATTTAATTTAATATTTATTATTAATTTTCAAATACAACATTTGAAAAAGCGTTCAACCTATATTTCATACCCAAGCCAAATATTTTTAACGATGTTCTTTAAATTTTCTTGCGGATTTACATACATGATCAGTCATCTAGTCTGTTGCAGAAGTTGCATGTGCTGTTGCTATCAACAATATAATCTGGTGATGCTCAACAACTTCAATTACCAGGCGCTCAGTAAAAGCAATGTTAATTATTGCAACCATTCATTATCATGTGTGACTTTAACTGTTGTTGTTGTTTTCATGTTTATTTAACTTTGTTGTGGCGTTAATATTTTCCACCCAAAAGGGTGGTGGGGAGAGACGTGAAGCACAATCGAATATACGAATGAAAGTGTAAGAAGAGACACATTAAAAAATAAAAACGAAAACAATAACAATAACAAGGCACTACAATAATAATAATAAAAATATTACACAAAAAGGCAAAGAAAATTGTTTATCTTATCTCAGTTGTCGTCGTTGTTGTTTCTCTTTTCGGTTTTTCGTTTTTGGACAGCAGTTGGCGGAGATATGACTGGGCACACAATACCACCATCATCGTAGTCGTCGTCATCCTACAAATACTTGTACATGTGTTCGAATCTATTTGTCCATAGGGTTCGTACATTTCGATTCAATTGGGAGAGAGATGTTTCCCAACATACTCTTTTTCCTTGGTGCGACGTCTGTCCACAGTGTCCATCCATCCATCCAATTGCACCCTTTTTCCATGGAGTTGCAATATCTCTCTCGTTTTGTTATTCCTTTTTTTACGAAATTCCTTGCTCTATGTTGCATTCATTTTCTGTTATCTGCATTTTAGTAGCCCTCCTCCCTCTCTTCGTCGACATAGAACTATTCAGCCACCATCATGCCAAGACGAAGCGAAGCGAACAATATGAATTGTTCAGTTAATACTATGTCTTCGTAGGGTTTACCCGCACTCTCTAGTCATATTTTCGGTCACCAATTAAAAACGCTTTTCTGTCTCTGCATCGCCGTGTCTCGTTTTTATTTAGTTTCTTCAAAGGCAAAAAGGAAAAGTTTGTGTTTCATAAATAAAATTGGCAAACCTAATAACAACAGAAGTCATTGATCCAGTTAGCCATCCACCCATAATATATTGTTGCGAATATAAAATGTACACAAACAGGGTGGAGTAGTTCGTGCCTTTGTGTGTGTCTGTGTTTGGAAAAAAAGAGTTGCTTTCTTGAAAATGTGTTTATCATTTGATGGTGTCTGTTGCATAGTGTCTGCATATTCCAAAACCTTTACAAAAAGTGTAAAACAATTCTGAACGTGGCACCAGCACATCCTAATCGCCAGTGACGACATCGCTCATTATAAAGTGGCCAGTGCAAAATTCGACAGACAAAATGTCTTCTTTTAAGGAGAAGTTTAAACTGTGGCGCGGGGTAAAGTCTACCAACATCTTATGAACATACATATATATCCATCCACACAACCATTTTACATACATATGCCACTGTGTTAATGAACACTTAATGAAGAATACTTCGCTATCAGTTCCTCAAACCGTTTGCATTCAACTCACAGCAGTAGGCAACCTACCAATATATACTTGTCGTCGGTCGAATCAATTGAATGTAAATACTTCGATTTTCAGTGTTTGAAGGCAATTTAAAATTGAATTGTGCGTGAGTCATGTAAAGACGGGGGAGTAGAGAACGAAATAAACGATATTTGAGATTTTCTTTTGGATCATGCAATTCCCCATATTGTATTTGTTTTAGATCTACACGGAGGGACGGTGTATTTTTGAAATGAAATTTTCAAAAATTTCAAACTAATAGTTTCAACTAATAGTCTTACTTTTTTATTGCATGAATTCACAATAACATACATGCATGTAGCAATGACGTAAATAATTTGTGTATATTTGTATGCCTTTGCAGAAATCTAGCTTAAATTTAAGAGATTCTAAAAATGCCAACAAAGAACAGAGTAATAGGCTATCTTTGAATACCGATAATAAGTACACATCTGGATCTGGTGGTAAAAACGACAAAGCTAATCTGCCATCAACATCCAGCGAGGAACGGGAAAAAGAAGACAAGGATGCTGGCACTGAAAAGGACAATGGCAAAAATGGAGCTCTACATCAGTGTATTAGTGAATTGGCCGCATCGATAGCATCAAATGAAGATAGTTCTGCGACAGAAATGAGCAGTTCAGCGCCCAAAAAATTATCCTCATCTTCGGATCGGTCAACGTCATCTTCCAAGAACACATCACATTTTGTTACCGTAATTGAGGTAAAGGAAAGTAAAATAAACATGGATCAGAACAATCCAAGTTTATCAATGGATCAGGGATCTGATATTGTTCCTGATCAGATGACATCAACGTTTAGTAGTTTTGAGAGGAAGCCCTCGGCGCCGCCACTTTCCCCTTCGATGTCGTCATCTTCAAATGCCGCTGCATTATCAGAGGCCAATAAGAAAAAAATGCCACCACGGTCAGTAAAAAATCTTCCCATAAACATTTTGGTCAAAAATTTAATTTATTTTGCATCCCCTCTTGCAGTCCTCCGCCAAAAATAATAAGACGTGTTGAACCGCCAACAATTCCGGGACCCGTACTTTCCTCTTCTCCTAAACGTGATGCTACATTTGCTGGTAGTTTTGTACCTTTGCCCTCTAATTCTGGAAATTTATCATCTTCGGAGAGTCCAGCAAATTCCTTAGAACGTAATGTCAAACCATCTGATATATTGAGATCAAAATCTTCCGAACCCAGCGAAAGTAAAGGATTTTCTCAAAATCGCAAAACAACGCCAGAACTTAACAAGTTCATAAATAATTCCGAATTTCTAGAAGAATTGGGTCATAAAATTAATAAAACCGAAAGTTTGGAAAAAACTAAACGGCCCGAGCTAGGTTACACACATAGCCCCACCGGTAGCTTGGGTCGAACTGCCAGTGGAAGTGCACCAAATGCACAAACAAGTGGTCCTCCTGCTATAAGCCGACAGAGCAAACCAAATAGTTATACCGCGACAGGCACATCTCCTACGAGCAGTCTTAATAAAAATGTCAAGCTTACAACGGCAGATAACGCCTCAACTGGCAGCTTGGACAAAAAATCAAGATCAACGCTGCAACCTGTTGATGCTGAATCAGCATCAATGGCGGCGCAAGGCCGCAATGTTGGATCTAAGGAATCACTGTCCTCACAGGGCATATCAGAAATAGTATGCACTTCATTGCAGTCGTTCCACAGAAAGATTAAGTAATATTCTTGCCTTTTTATAGATTAAGAGCTACGAATCAGTGTCATCACTAAGTTCGGAAAGCGTTAGAGCTAATCAGACGGGAGATAGTGAACAAGAACATTTATATGATACTGTACCCCTGGATAACGGGGACGATGAATACGTTTATATAAAACCAGGACGAACAGGCTCTTCTTCTAGTCGTGATGATTTATCAACGCCTGGTAGCGTTGTTCCAATGAGTTCACATGCGCATTTGAGCAGTCAAGCAAGTGTGACAGATCCGGAATCTCCAGGTCGATCGTCTAATTATGTCAACATTGATTATTTTATACAGTAAGTAGTTACGAAGCTTCGGAAGGTTGCTTCAATAATGCGTTTCATGAATTCTCATTTGCTTTCAGTCAAAACAATGAAACCCGTTCTAGTTCAATGGATAGTGATGGAGAATATGAAAATGGTATGCCAATAATGCGTACTATTTCACACGATGATCACAATGCTCCTGCTCCAGGTGTTTCTAGAAAGGTAATTAAAAGTGTGTACAGGATTATATATGCACTGAAAATCAACAGAAGAATTTTTGTCAAATACGCTCGTTTAGTCGGCGTCGATTCTTGAGTTTCCACTTTCGGTTCGTTAAACTGTTCAAATTTGATGTTTGGATTTTATGTCCTAACTTAAATCCTTGATATAAAAACCTATTGCTAAAACCCATCAGAAATATAAAGATAGAGATGTAGTAAGATAAAAAAATTGAATGTTGAAACTATTAACAAAAATAACAATTTCAAATTTATATCTACATATTTAATGATCTACATATTCATGACTAATTAGAAACAAAACAAACTAACATCTTAAAGACCGAATAGAAAAATAACTACAACATTATACACACTATACTTAAATGGTATATCATTGTTAGCAATTGCGCTCGAACATTAGAAAAGGTATATTCCACTTATAACATTCCTCAGGCATATGATTGCATGAATAAAATACAGTCCTCAAATTTTTTGAGCAGATGCAATTCCCCATATTTGCGTATAATGTTAAAATACGTGAACATGTAAAATGTTTCGAATACATGTATTATAGTTTTTAAAAATAGTTTCTTTTTCGAATGGTTTCTGAAACAATTTGCCCATTGGAATTGAATCAGGTTCATAAATTGTGCAATATATATATTTTTTTGTTGTCCAAAAAGGTTTTTATACCTGTTGTACCTTATATTAAGCAATCATAAAATCACAAATTCCAATCAAGTATGCATTGACCAATGTTTTTTTTTTGGGTGAGCAAATCGACTAGAATTCAACTGGAGTTGATAATCGATGCATTGAACACATATTTCTAATAAACAATAACATCTTATTTTTTTTAATTATTAACTAACATTTTAATCTTTTCGTTTTTTCTAATACGTTTTTCTGTAAACAACACAAATACACATCTGAACAGAATCTTGTTTCAGCAATACTTGTGAGTATCCACCATTTACCAATGTTGAAATATATTTTGTTTGTTTGTCTCTGTGGTGTTGGTTGTTTCCTGTTAATGTTACTTTCATTATTTGCTACAGTAGTGTACTCTTAAATTTAAAAGTAAATTTTGTATTCATCATTTCGCTTTAGACATCTGTGTCGGAGGAATTGGTTCATTTTGTTTTTTTTTTTATTGTTATTGAGCGTTTTTTAGCAATCAGAAATTAACAATTCTTTAACTTGCAGGTTTCGGGCAATCAGCGTGGCAATAAAATACGGACTATACTAAACATTATTATACAGAGCGAAACCATATATGTTGCCTGTTTAAATACAATGATACAAGTGAGTTCCAATTCATGTTAGACAATATGTACATACAGATCTCAATACATAATTAGAAGGAGTCGATATTTCAAAATACTTTACCTTCTATTTCGCACATTTTTAATTTAATTTAAAAATCTATGTTTTACTGCTTATTTTTCAGTACAAAAAGGCCATTCATGCAACGTTAGGTACATCACAGCCCGTGATCAAAGAAGAGGAAGAGAACACGATTTTCTTTATGATCGAAAAATTATACGATTCCCATTCGATATTTTTGAGCGATTTGAAAACACTTGTAGCTCACGAGGGTGGCGATGTGCTTATTGGCGAAACGTTTAAACGTCTAGCCGAAATGGTTGATTTATATAGTGCGTTTTTGCACAATTATAATCAAGCCATTGAAACGGTGAAGAAATGCAGTGCCAATAATCCGCAGTTCAAGAAGATTGTTTCGACGATTGTCTTGAATCTGCAGACAGAGCAGTCGCTTACTCTGGAAGATCTGTTGCACAAGCCAGTGGCACGTGTGCAAATAAATGCCTTGGTATTTAATGATCTTCTTGAGTGTACCCCTCCCAATCATCCCGATCATCATCCTCTTAAGCATGCACACGACACAATACACAAGTTCCTCAAGCAATTCAATGTGGTTAATCAAAAGCTACCAACCGAATCGAATAAGAATCTCCGCCGCATGGTGAAGAATTCATTTATTGTTGAACTTGTGGATGGACATCGTAAGCTGCGACATCTCTTCCTGTTCAATGACGTAATAGCATGTGCCAAATACAAGGCCTCCGGCCGTGATCGCATAGACTACGAGCTTAAATGGTTTATTCCGCTGAAAGATGTGGCCGTCTTTGAAGAAACGGATGCCGGTGCAGACCTTAAGGAATCTAGTCCACCAAATATATTGCAGCTAAAGACCCAAGCATGTACGGTGCGAGATCAGTTGCTTATGGAGGAGAAAGCAGATGACAAATCGCGAAAGGCCAACGGACTTCGTTATGGAGATAAATATCGCAGAAAATTGGCTGATTTGGAATCACAATTAGTATTGGCATCGCCGAATTTAGTTTTTCGTATAGCCAATAAGGCTACAAATAAAACCGTTACATTTTTCTTAAGCTCCGACTTCGAGAGGACCCAGTGGATTGAATCTATACTTGGCTTACAGGTACGTTTCTACGTTAAAAACAGCACTATTACGAACTTATCCACCTCCATCCTTTGATTTTCATTTTCGTATAGCAAACTTGTAATATACCTGGTGCCAGCAGTATAAACGCGCTTGAAGTTCATGCCTTTATTGTGGCAATGCAGAAGAGCATGAAAACCGAAATGGGGTCTTATCTGATGCGCAATACAAACGATGAAAGTCTGCTTGTGGGTGATCTGCACATGACTGTGCAAAGCTTAACGGGTCTGGAACAACCCGTCGATTCATATATAATTATAGAAGTCGATTCGTATGGTCATTACTTCCGTAAGGCGGGCACAAAAATGATTTGTCGTACCACAAATCCTGTCTGGAATGAGAGCTTTGTTGTTGAGCTGGAGGGCAGTCAAAATGTCCGCATTTTACTCTACACCGTATCGGATAGGCCCACTCTAAAATCAAAACATGTGCTCAAGGTGAGAAATGTTGTAAATATATATCTCTACTATGTAATATTTAAAATGTTTAACCAATTCCAGTTAAGCCGCAGCTGGTTGAAGGAAACGCCACAAGCCCGTGTCATAAAATTAGGCGACAACTTAGTCCTGAACACTCTCTTACATTTCGTACCTGGTGAAGTGACTTTAAGGCGGGTGCCTACCTCGAAACCGGGAGCTCTATTTGGCGCAAAAATGCAACAAGTTCTGAAGTGCGTGGTGGCAATGCTACTATTGGTTTAAATGCGATTTTTATTGTTCTGACTTTTTTGTTTGCTTTTAGACGTGAAAAGCGAGACATTCCATTTATAATAAGTGCCTGTATACGAGAAGTTGAGAAACGGGGGATGTCTGAGGTTGGCATTTATAGGGTTAGCGGATCCGCATCTGATTTAGCCAAATTGAAGAAATCGTTCGAAACTAGTAAGTCGGAAAGACATTTCTTTAAGGAGATCACATTACATAAATAACCTCTCTACATTCCAGATGCATATGAAGCCGAACAGTTATTAAAAGATGTTGACATTCATTCGGTAACTGGTATTCTTAAGTCGTATTTACGCGAATTGCCCGAGGCTTTGTTCACGGATGTTTTGTATCCCAAATTCTTTGAAACCTTCAGCAAATTTACCAATAACAACGAAGCAGAACGCATCAGTGAACTGTTGGTTGTATTTGAGGAGTTGCCCCCGGCCAATAAGGCCTCCATAAATCATATATTAGATCATTTAATAAGGTACAGTAACATTGAGAAAATTTGTATTTTCAAATGAACATTGAAGAATAAAATCTTTTTTGCAGAGTTCACAATCGGGAAGCCGATAATAAAATGTCTTTACACAATTTGGCTATGGTGTTTGGTCCCACTCTTCTACGACCGGGCGCAACACAAACAAAACAAAAAGATCTTTTGGCTGCCAGTACGGTAGATGTAATGGCTCAAGCTGGCATTCTGTACTGTTTCCTGCAAGCTCGCATGCAATACGACAGAGACTCTATAGTTCCATAATGGAAAGGAAACGGACGATTTATTGATTATTTACCGGCCATCTATAAAATAAAGCATTAAATGCTGTATACCACATGCTGCACCCGTGGCATGTTTGATTAAGCGTATTCCATAGCTCAAGTAACACTTAACAGGTCATACAAATATTATATATAGATGAGAGCACGATATTTTTATATATACATATATATTATGCATTTTATGTAAATACAGTACATAAATCCAAGTGGTTGGATCAGTTTTGTCAAACATTATTGCTTGAGCTGGCTGATTCATTGAAAAACCACACACACACCCACATTGTCTACACTTACAATATCGGATACAGATCAACAAAAAAGTAGAATTGGATGGATGAAGTTTCCTAAAACTTTTGAAATTGCAAACACAAACATCGGCGATCCGGGAATATAGGGAAGAAGAGAAGAAAACAAGAGAATATGCATTGAAAATCCAAAATTTATTATTAATTATTACTATACATTTATTCTATAGTGTATCGTTATTACAGAGAACACATTGCTGCTGTGTATATTTATATGATTTATGCCGCACGGCACCATAAATCTTCAGCACATAGCATAGCGTTCCCGTATGTATTTTATTTTATTTCGTCTTACAAAACTATAACAGCTTCAAAGGTCTTAAATCTTACCGCAAATGTTAAAAAAATTATGTACTATTCTTTAGTCGACCGTAAACTTATTTAAAAATAAAGAATAATGTATTCACAATTGATACATAAAAAAATAAAAGAAAAAGCAATATTTAAATTCTAAACACACCATGTATGGTTTTAAAGAGTAATTTGGAATCCCATCGTTTCCAAAGACTGCGGCATTTAGTATGTTTGTTCATATGAAATATTGCATTGTTTTTTTTTTTTTTTTCGAATTTATAGTGAATATTTTACATAATTTTGTCGCATATTTTCGAACGTTTAAAATTCCTAATTAAACTAAATGGACTAACAGATGTACTTTGAATTACATGGATCTAATCGCTTAAATGGTCATCGTCATTTTGGGCAACATTTGTACTTCCGTTAGCATCGAAAACTGCTCTTTTACTGCGCTTCGTGGATTTATCCTGATTTGTACTATTGTATTGCTCAGCGGATCGTTTTCTGAGAGCATCCACATCTTCGTCAGTCGTGGAAGCCCATTCGAGGACAATGCGTCTACCGTATAAATGGGTACTTTGGCTAAGTGCTTCAAATGCCTTTTTGGCATCACTTTTCGTTACGAAATCCACAAAACCAAAGCCGCGATGGGATTCTTCGCCTGGTGCCATTTTCTTTGGCAAGCGAACTGAACGCAACTCGCCAAATGCTCTGAAAGATTGTAACAAAATGTATTATCATAACAGATCTATGTGAAACTAGTCTTTGAAGTGTATATTACTTGAAAATATCTCGAACTTCCCGGACTTTTGCCTGAAAAGGTATGTTCCGTACCAACATTTTGGTACCAGTCTGTTTTGTAAGTTGGACCTTTTTGCGCTCTCCCTGTGTTGCCGGTGTTCTGTAAAAAAAGATCTCCTTAATATTATACGTTTGGAATTTTTAGCATAACTTACTTGAGGATACGATCACTACGTTTCAATTCCACTTGATTGCCATCGATCGTCGTAAATTGCATATTTTTGAGTGCATATTCAGCAACAGATGTCTTCTTAAATTGAATGAAACCATAACCTAAAGACGTCGTCTGGGATGGATTGTTGGGGTCTTTCCGTTTTGCTATTTCCACAGTGTGTATTGTGCCCAATCTTTTGAAATGACTGTAAACCGTTTCCCGCACGGTTTTGAAATTAAGATTTCTTAAGAATAGTGTTGTATTTGGTTCAGGATCTTCATTTTCTTCGTCCTCCTCCTGGTCAACTGCTTCCTCGATTTGCTTGCCATTTTCAGAGTTCTCCTGCGATTCCTCCGCTAGGCCAACATTTGCATCCTCTTTTTCAATTTTCGGTATTAAGGGTTCTCCGTTTAATGTGGTTGAGAAAACATCTTCAGGGCCCCATTCAAGATACAGCGGAACATTTTTAAACTTGCTGTAGGCAAGTTTTTTGAATGCATGCCTCGCTTCTGTTGGGTCACAATATTCAATTATGGCTGTCACGCCACTAGGTGGTAATACTATTCTACCAATTGGTCCGAATTTGGCAAAGATTGGTGTTAATTCCGCTACCGTCGTTTCAGGGGGTAAATTTTTTGCCAATATTATCGTCTTGGAGCGTTTTGCATTCACGGAATCAAAAGCATTTACTCTCACACCATTATCCTCCAAAAACTTTTTCATCTCTATGACAATCTGAGTCTCTCCTAAGGCAATGCGGACTGCAGCACTGGATCCACCATCGTCGGTATCCAAGATGCGTTGTTTCGAAGTTTCAAATTTCTTTGCTAAAATCTCGGCTACAGCATTTGGCCCTAAGAACAGAGTGTTCCAATTTGTAGACTGTTGTGCAGTCTTTTTCAGTTTCAATGCTTTCTTCTGTTTGAATGACAGATTGGCATCATCCTCGTCTTGATTCTCGTCCGACTTTTTGCCTTTTCCCGGTATCAAGTGTAAAAGACGCCCATGAAACGTTGTCCCGTCCAATTTATTGAAGGCTTGAACAGCATGTTCAGGCATCACATACGTAACAGTGCCAAATCCTTTGATTTGTCGTGTAACCGTATCGACGGGTAAACTTATCTCTGCAATGGGACCGAATTCTTCAAAAACTTTTTGCAAGTCATCTTCAGTAACTGTGTAGGCCAAGTTCCTAAAAAATATTCTTCCCGATTCTGATATGTCTTCTTCATTGCTAAGACTTGACTCTTGATGTTTCCATTTGGAGTTTTTTTCTGTGCTATCTGTCTGATTGAGGTCGTCTCCATCTTTTGCCGCTGTTTGCTTGGCTTTTGTGATTTTATTCTTTTCAGTGAAATCGGAGAAAAACACCTGCTTGCCTTTTATGAAACTTTTGTTTTTTAGCATTGCCTTGTTCATATCCTTTTCTGTTTTGAAGCCTACATAACAAAATCCGTGGACATTAGTTGGCAAACGCACTGAGAAAGGTTTGAGTGGTTTAAAGAATTTGATGATTTCTTGACGTTTGGTTTTGTAGGGAACATTGTGAATTTTTATTGTGAATAAGTCAACATTTGTTTTCTTTGCTTTCGATGCGGAGCTGACACTAGTCTTGGCCATTAGGGATTTCATGTATTCCATATCACTGATGGGTTTTTCGGCTAACTTATCCTTGCCGTCCTCTTCATTATCATCCACATCATCGTTTTTATCTTCCTCATTATCTGTGTCTTCCCTGTCTTCTGCTTGTTCTGTAATAGTATTTTCTTCATTAAGCTGAGGGGCTTCATTTGGAGATTCCGCTTCTGTAACATCATTGGCCCATAATGTTCGATTTCTTTCATGAACTTTCATAAATTCCTGAAATTCTGGATCATCCTTATGCTTGCCTAACAACTCTTCAACACGCGAGGGAGGTTTCGGCTCTGTTTCTTTCACTTCTTTGGTAATTTTACTTTCCTTATCTGTTGCAACCTTCTTATTGTCTTTGGCGTATTTGCTCCATGACTGGGGCTTCTCATCGCCTCCCAATTTAGCGCATAATTCTACTTTAATTCGGCTGGTTTGTATAGTGGAATTGTTAAAATACTTTATAGCATCCGCAGCCTCATTTTCTGTCTGATATCCAATGAAGCAAAATTGCCGAAACTTGCCATCGGGAGTATATTTAAGCTGCATATCAGTTATGGTACCTTTTTGGCCGAAAAGGCTACGCAATTTTTCCTCTGTGACCTAAGTAAAGAAATGTGTCTTGTCACAAAGCATGGTGATCGAACAGTGCGAATTAGTACTTACATTTTTGGGAAGCTGCTTTACAATAATTCTGGACATAATGGTTTCTAATTGAACTTAATATTTTACTTATTCAATGTTTTTTATTTATTTCATTGTTTATTTCAACACGTGAAGCAGTAAGAATGTCGTGGAAGGAATAACGATATACATTCACTGCAAAATGGGATGTTATATGAAATGACAACACTCACTGGAAATGGGAGCCAATGTCGAATTTTGAATTTGATACGGCTAGAGGTGTTCGTTCCCTCGCACGGTAGAAGAAAACAGGTAGTAGCATCGGCGCAGCTGCTAGGATAATGAATTGTCAAACCAATTTTGTATTCTAATTTGTGAAAATTTTTAAAAATGCATTTTATAACGACCTCTGATTGGTAAATTTATTTGATAAAAACCCCCGATTAGTATGTATAAGAAAACATGTAAAAATCTACTTATTTTTGTCAAAACTTTTTAAAATTTTTTGACATATCAATATTTCCAAGTGTTAATGCATCTACGTGTATTTTTTACCATGCTCTCACCTAAAATGAATTAACATATGCATTCTTGGCGAAAATGAGTTTCTGGAACCCTATGGACCAATCGTAGACTTTGTTTTGATTTTCAAATTTATCACATATTTCTCCTGTTTCTTTCTTTTTCATTTATTGTGGCGGCGTCTCGCTTAGGTTTTGTGGGCTCTGTTGTCTGTTTTTATTAGTGTGTAAACTTGCGATATATAATAGTCATAATAGTCTGCAAAATTGGATTGGAACTGGGCAAAAAATTAAATTCGTTTTATTTTCGACACATAGCCTTGTTTATTTGAATCTGAACAAAAATAGTCTTGATACGAAACAAAGAGAACTGCAGCATACAAAATTTGAGAAGAAACGTATGGAGGTGGTTTAAAAATGTCCTATTCCTTATTGCGATTTGTACGTTGTACTGGAGCTGCCTCACTGCGCATAACCAATACACAATATCCCTTCACCTTGTACCTGCTGCCAATTCGCCCAAATAATTACTGTATTGTGGCACATTACTCCAGACGCAGCGATTCAAAAAACCTTGAGTCAGCTTTCAAGGTTGTCAAATCAAAAGTTCGTGTAGAAGGTAAATAAACATCGAGGGGCAAAGCAAGCACGTATCGGTGATAATAATAAATGTTAACAATAGCCAAAAATTATCTACTCTACTTGTGTGTGTTGACACTGGTGGAATGTGGTGGACAATTTTTTCACCGATGAAAACAAGATATGAACAATTTATGTATAAAAATGTACTAATTATGCTTTCCATTGCAAATACAATATAGAATTCTTGGGCGGTGAATGTGGACCTAATTGGGAACTGTTGGCTCCTAAGGGAAATAGATTTTTCTTAAAAAATGCTGTTGGACCAGCTTGGCAGGGTGCTTCGAGCACAATCACTTTGGACGCTCCATTAGAATCGCTGGTCGATTTCGATGGAAAGGTAGTAAATGTAATAGTTAAAAGTTATGTAATTATTGTATTATTTTCTTCTGTTTCTTGTGTGATTTAGCAGAACGAACATAAGTCCCGATTGGAATTCTCGGTAGCCCAATGCCCATCATTAATTAAGAAATCGCTACATGAACTCTTTCCGGCTCCAGAAGTGGTATCTAGTGAAAAATTAACTTTGTTAACATTAACATTCAATGGCGATTCGGAGCAAGGGGCAAGGAAGGTTTGTTTGCTGTTCTTTTATATGATTCTTTTGCCGTCCATTTTAAGTTAACTAATATTGGTATTATCTTTTCTACAGTTTGTTTTGGCCGCCCGTGAAATTTCTTCTCGCCTTCGTTTACATGGATTTTGGGCGGATTTCATGAATCCATTTAGTGGAAAGCCCTTTTACTCCTGGGCCAGTGGTAAAAACCTGTATAAAATTGACAAACGATTCCGCGGACTCAATATGAAATTGAAGAAACACAATGATTGTGTTGTTATTACACCAGACGAGAATGTCGAGAAGACATTTTCTGGTTCTATTTACACCAACGCACCTTCCGACTATTCAGAAATTAAGTCATTAATCGATAATCAGGTTTAACGAATGCAGTGGTTATTCTTAAATAAGGAAGAATTGTTGCTTTCATACTACCAACCAAAAACAAGAAAATTGTCAGGTATTTTTCATTAAGTTTACCCCCTTTGTTGATATTGTTTTAGATAATCTTAATAACTAAATAAATTATTACCAGATTGTATTTGCGCGTTTTGTTTAGAACTTCTTAAGGTGACTCATTTGACCACTTCTCACAGTGCCTCTCGATTTCCTTCAGCTTGTTTATTAGCAGTTGCAACTCTTCTGTGTTACAAACAAATTCGACTACAGTTTCCCTTTCACCATCGGAGTTTTGGTTAAAACGCCCCATATTTATGTAAAATCCAGGCTCTCCACTGCTCTTTCCTGCTGTCGAGGATTTAACATCGGCTACTATTCTCCACTGCAAATCGGTAACATGGGGAAAACTATGGCCAATTTGCAAATGCCGCAAAATTAGAGAATTTTTGTTGTCGACGTATGTTTTGATGAGCTCATCGATAGTAACACCACTTAATTCAATTTCCTCCAATAGTTGTCTTAGCTCGAATTCAGAAAGACAGTGTTTTGTAGCCAAACTAAATAAACTGCAGACGGCATATTCACTTTGTTTTGCCCTTGTGCTATTTGTAGCATATATTTCCGGAATGGGTTGAAGAGCTGAAAGGATTAAAAATGGAGAAACCACTTTTGGGGCAAACGAGCATCATGAACATACTGGCTTGTGGATGTAGTGTTAGTTTTATCGTATTTCCAATAAGTTTTCGGGCAGTATCAAAGTCCATTGTTCCCAAATGCTTAAGGCCCTCGATAACATTACTCGGTAGCGATATTACATTAGTTTTCAAAGCTGAGGGATCCATTAAAATAATTAATTATTAAAATCCAATAACGCGAAAGAATCTTTACTCGGACAATTTACACACCAAACCGTCGCCACCGACGCCACCGGGAGAGTGAAGTAAAGAACAAAGGACACTTGGCAACACTGAAAAGAAAGACAGCTCAGAGAGAAATCGATAATAAAGATGGGAATCAAAAGGGAAAGGCGGACAACACAAAAGGAATCAAAACAAAACGGCCGACAACATAAGTGGTTTGAACACATTCACCAAAAGAGCACGGAACCAGCTCCTACTCTCATCAAGTCTGTTTTGTTGTATTTATTTCTTTTGTATGTTGGTAGTTGCCATATCCGACCAAAATCAGATTTTTGGCGTAATTGAAATATTTGTCTGCGATAGTTGAAGGCGGGAATACCAAAAGTTTTTCGATTGTTATGGCAAGGCTATGAAAATTAACGGTCGGCGATTTTGTTTTTACAAATGTTGGAGGCATGGTACAATGAATTCAAGGTAGGACAGAACTACCATATGATTTAAATTTTTTTATTTTTCTGGCTTAATATGTCAACTTCATTTGCTTATGTGTGAGTCTTCTTTTCAATAATAAAAATTGTTCAGAAAATATTCGAATTCGGGTGTTTTCAAAATGCTTATTGCAACGAATGCATCGACAAAATCTAGAGTTTTTGTCTCGAAATAAACCATAAGAGATATATAGAACATTATATTGAAAAGAAATTTTGATCATTCATTCAGTTTTCGCGGTTTTAAATTATCTATTCAAAATCAATGCTACAAGTTGTTTGTTTTTTATTGTTTTGATAGTAACTCTGACAAGCCAAACAGGTAGACCTCTTTACTTGCAATTTTTTTAAAGTTGACCTACCTTCTCTTCATTGTACCATGTGTCATACTATAGATGCAGGCATGGTACAATGAAGAGAAGGTAGGACAACTTTGAAAAAATTGCAAGTATGGAGGTCTACCTGTTTGGCTTGTAATGTCAGAATAAGTATCAAAACAATAAAAAATCAAACAACTTGTTGCATTTATTTTGAATAAATAATTGAAAACCGCGATAACTGAATGAAAGGCCAACACTTCTTTTCAAAATCATGTACTATATAACTCTAAAGGATTATTTCGCTACAAAAACTCTAGATTTTGTCGATGCATACGATGAAATAAACATTTTGAAAACACCTGAGTTTGAGTGTTTTCTGAACAATTATTTTGTTATTGAAATAAAAAACACATACATAAACAAATTAAGACGACATATTAAGCCAAGAAAATAAAAAAATTAAAATCATATGGTATCATAGCCCTACCTTGATATCATTGTACCATGGATGCAGGTACATAAAAAGCTTAAAGTCATGGCTAGGCCTATTAATATCAAATTATAATGGCAAACGACGGCAGGATTTTTATGCGGCTCTGTAATCCCTTTATGACGTAAATCGAAGGTTATTGTAATATGCGTTTTTCAAATATATTTATAAATTTGAAAAATTTTTATTCAAAAATTTCAATTCCAAAATTGGTTTGACAGTTCATTGTCCCAGCAGCTGTATCGATACGTCTATCTGCATTCTTTTACCGTGAAAAATAAAATCAAGAAATATTTTCAAAATCAATGGTTGGAAAAGACATAGTACATATCAGGGCATTTGTTAAAGCAATTTACAAGTTTCGCCATGGAATTAATTATTGCATTTCTGTAGTTTTACGAAGCTGTAGTTTATCTGCATATTGTACCAGACCTAATGCTCGTAAAGACAGACAGACCTAATGCTCGTAAAGGGCCATCTGTTTTCAACCATTTTTGGCCTTTTTCAATCTTTGAAACCCTATTTCTTTTTGTTTTGATTCGCCATATTTATCAATTCTTTTATTTTTTCTGTTTCATAATCATCCATCCGCACACCATTCAAACAAGTTTTTTATTTTTCCAATTTCCCAAATAATCTTAATGGAATGGCTTTGTCTAGGGCTACCAAGGAATATATTCCGAAAGATGCAGTCGTTATAACAGAGGACGAAGCCTTGGCATACCAGTGGAACATAATTTCCAAATGGGAGAAGTTGAGCGATGTGTATGTCAAATTGAAGAATATAAATAAATGAATGATACTAATTCCGTCTTTTATATATTTTAGATGGTCGCTACGTTATGGGCCGGGTATACTATCAGCCATGGCCACTGGTACCGGTATTTTCGTTAACAATCACTATCGCAACAAGCTGCGTCTTGGCACATATGGTAGGTTCTCGACGTATCTCCCAATAGTTGTTATTCCGGCAATATTTACGCTCTCGTGCCACAAACTGTTTGTGCAGCGCTCAGTCCTGTTGGATCCTATGGGTGAATGTCCTACATGTATACAAATGAGAGCGATGACGTTTCAAACTGCCTTTGGAGTCATTTATCCCACAATACTGGCACCTCTATCGGCTTGTATGTTTGCTACACGCCATTTCACCTATAGATTACCCTCAATTACAGAAAATCCCAAGGAAGTGTTTCAATTAATTAGAAAATTTACCAAGCCCATTCTTCCGATACTTAGTGCTATATTGTGTATTCAAGGTTTGACTGCAATCTATTTAACGTACGAAGAACAAAAAGAAAATCTTGTGGTTTTAGCCAAGATGAAAAAGTTTGAACAAGAAGTCGAGGCAAACTTGGGCATTTAAAATACATTTCTTTAAAAAAGAAAATGAGCTGTAAAGATAATTATAGAAAATAAAAACATGTACAGTATATAAAATCGATGTATGTTTTGGACAACAATCAATCCATAGACTAATGCATGGATGTTAAAGAGTTTGTTATAGACATGAGCATTTCATCTGACACAAGTCGTTGTCTTTTAAGGTGTAAACTCTCCTTATATATTTGTTTACTTATGTAGCTTGATCGTGATGGCTGATCTTAAAATAAATCGAATAGGGAATTTTAGAACAGTATTCAAGCTTATATAGTTCTTGTGGTAGTTCTCGTTTGTCTTAACAATGAAGGACGTAAAGGACTTAAAAACAATATTTCTTAAAAAAGAATCGACGATCGATTTAATTGAAGAATTGCGATACTGAGTTGTGTAATTTTTGAACAAGTTGTTTATAATTTGTAAATTAATAAAATTTTCGAGTCTTTTTTACGTTAAAGGTTAGACAATTGGACAGTTCCAGAACTGCAAAAATCTAAAAGTTTTTGCGACGATAATCAATTTTCCCTTTTTTTTGGAACAACTCTAGTTTAGTAAAAACTCTTTCCTGATTCCGGATCCACTTACCCGATATAGACAATATAGGCATCGTTTGAAAGCTTTTCCAACTTATCCAACAAGTGGTCACATGATGGGGTAATTTTTAAGCGGTTTGGAAGTTATAGTCAAATTTTTTAAAAATCCCAAATGTCGAAAAATGTTTTAGCAAAAATTGTTTCATTTTGGAAAGGTAAGAGTGTCAGGAATAATTTGCCGTAAATTTGGTTGACCCCCATAATGGGCCCCTTTTCGGCTTTTGGGGGTTTTATACAAAATCCGGGTACAAAGAATCAATAAATTGACTATAACTTCCGAACCGCTTAAAAATTACCCCACTTGTTGGATAGGTATTTTCATAAGCTTTCCAACTAGAAATCGTTGCCTATATCGGGTAACTAGATCCGGATCTAGTCGGGGACTCGAACCCGGACTTTCTAATCAAAAATCTGGGGTCCCGGGTCCGTCCCCCAAGAAAAAAAAAAAATAGTTTAGTAAAAACTCTTCGATTTTTTTCGAAATTTTTTCCAGAGGTAGGTATTTTTACCCTGATTTCAGGAAACTAGTTTTTCTTGGGGGACGGACCCGGGACTCCAGATTTTTGACCCCAAAGTCCGGGGTCAGGACCCCGACTAGACCCGGATCCAATTTCCCGATATAGACAATATAGGTATCGTTGAAAAGCTTATGAAAATACCTATCCAACAAGTGATGATCACATGATGGGGTAAATGGTCAAGGTTCGGAAGTTATAGTCAAATTATCTATTTTCTTGACCCATATTTTTTATAAAGCCCCCAAAAAGTCCAAAAAGGGTCCATTATTGGGGTCAACAAAATTGATGCAAAATTATAGCTGACACTCTTACCTTTCCAAAATGCTACAATGTGTGCAAATGCCGGGTCCGTCCCCCAAGAAAAAAATAGTTTCCCGGGATCAGGGAAAAAATCGAAGAGTTTTTACTAATCTAGAGTTAAGCCGCATTTTTTAAGCCTTTTGCCGTTTCCTACAAATGTACATTTAAATATTTTTTTATATTTTTGATATATCTGTGTTCAATTGCTATCTACCATACTCTCTCAGAAAGAAGCTGCTGGACAATTCCTGCAGGAAAAGTAACCAGACAAATTTAATGTCGTTAATTCTGTCGTCAACTAGTTAGAGTTTTACAGAATTAATCAGAATAAAGTGAAATATTTTCAATAAAAACTACAAACTTCTTAAAATAATTAACGATTTTCCACTGTCGAGTTTGGTGATTGGCCAATAGTCGCGATTAATAGCTTTAAAAATTTTACATTACAATAGAATTTTACATAGGCCTACCAAATTCCTGACATACCGCACAAAAATGTTCATACTCACTGAGGTTGTTTTACGGCTGTATTGCCCAAAAACACAATGTCTGTAATTTCAAGGCATCAAAATTACAATTTTAAAAATTAAAAATTTCTTCCCAATTGAACGTTTTTTTCTAATTTTCGTTTTTATTTCCAAGGCGCTGTAATACCATCAATAATTTGACGAACCAATTGTAAAGCAAAAAAATCGGTTATCGATTACAATTATCGATGTCACTACAAGTGCCAACGCCGTTATTCAATCAATTTGTTCTTGTTACGCCGACACAGTGTTCATTGTAACTCGGTTCTCTAACTCGGAGAGAGAAAAAATTTTCCTCAGCTAAAAATAAACCAAAAATCATATTATTTTATTGAAATTAATAAACTTACAGTGAGTTTCAAAGCAAAATGTATTGTATTACAGTGTAAATGCAAAGAAATATTGGAAAATTGTAAAGAAATTATTAACTGAATCGAGAATAAACGACCTCGGCCCACCACTACAAGAACCAGACATCAGCCCAAGTTTGTTGAACATCATTATTGTCAAAGTCGTCAGAGAAGTGGAATGTTGGTCGACGTCGACGATTACTCTGCGAGAAAGGCCAAGCTTGTATTTCTCATGCCACCCACTACCCACTTGGGCTTGCAGGCGACTAACATCTTCATCATCATGACAACGACGACGACGTGCTGATGGAAATGATGATGTTTGTGTAGTATCTACGTAGTAGTGTACATGATGTTTTCATAATATCATCATAATTAACGTAGTAATAATAGTGGTGGTAGTTTTGTTATTTGACAATTCACCTTTGCATATTTTCCAATTTTCAATGAAATGAAAATTTTTCTCTTTGCGTAATTCATGAATCGCTCGCTATAAAAATAGATTGTTTCTTTTTTTATGACTTTATTTGACTTTTGAGCACAAACGGCAACAACAACGAACAGCAAAAAAAAACACAATTCTAACAAGAGAACGTGCGATAAAAGCAGCAGCAACGTTGAAAATATAGTATGTATGTGTGTCCGTCTATCATTTTGCTTCCTCTCTTCCTGCGTCGTCTCAAAAATATATTTTGCATTGATTAGCATCAAGTGTTTCTCGTTCTTTGATCCATTAGTGAAAAAAAGTTAATCAAATCTCTCTCGATTCGTAAAGCGTTGTGCGTCGACGATCAAGGTGAAGTTTTTATCTTTGTAAAATAAAAAAAATTGCCACCTGACTATATGAAGTGCTACAATATTTACGAAATATCTAGCTAGTTACATATTCTAATCAAATATACGGCTACTGATGTGAAATTCTATGTAGGGCGACTCTAAAATGTGAAATCGGCCGAAAATAAGATCTAAAAAGAAAATTAATACCGTATCTCTTCATGTGTGCCACACAGCCAATTAATGAATTTGTGTGTTTCTGTTGCTTTTGGTTTTTGTTTGCTGATATTTGACAATGAATATTGTTGATATATGCTCAGTGCGATGATGACGCTGCTCACGGTGATAATGATGATAACTAACCTATGATTGTCAAAGTATGCGCACATTCAGAGTCGCTGCTTTTGTTTTTTCCCCATTCGCTGCGCCGCATAGTGGTTCCGTGGTTCCCTCACTGAGTCTAAAAATAAATAAAAAGAATAAATTCGATCATTAATATATAATAAAAGGTGTTATTGTGTTTAAAAACATATGCAGAATTATATTTAGGTTGGTCTATTATTAAAAAAAACATTTTGATCTGTAGATTATTGTGCAGATTTACATATTGTTGTAATATTGTGACTCTGTGTCAACAACAAAAAATAAATTTCAATCATCACAATCCACACAAATTTAAAATCTATATATATTCGCTCCATATAACTGACATTTTATTGATCTAAAGATTACTACCTATGACAATTAGCAATAAAGGTATTTGCACTATATTTGGATCTTAGAACCTACAGCCTGAGTCTGTAGTGCATTTCTGTAACTTTTCCGATGAATGGCTAAAATAATAAAAATGACGCTATCTTACAGTGAAATTTCCAATTTGAAATTGTCGGGATTGCAAATGGGCAATATAGCTTATCTTTTATATATAGGTATGTAAAATTTTAAGTCAAGTAAGTTGGGAAAATTAAATATATTGGGGAAATTTATATTATAGAATTAATTGTCTAAAACTATCAGGACTGATATAATGCTATGTCATACATTATTTAGGCCATAAAGGTTTTTGTATAAAAAGTGGAGGAATAAATAAATTAATATTACAAATTTGGTCTATGCATGTACTGATCTTGACTTCAAATTGTCTTATAATATTGTAACAGTAACACCAAGAGTGAGGTTAAGAACCTTAATTTGAGTCATATACAGATATCAGACGAATTGACAGTCCTTGATCTGAAACTAAGATTGACAAAAAAATGTAATGTGTAATATTGGAAGCTTACGTCTAGTTTATGGCTACCTCGCAGATTTTTTAATAAACGAACAGGTTCGACCGAGGGTCGGTCAACAAAAAATTATGCTTTGTACGTAGGTTGCTTAGGCCCATTTCAGGGCAAATAGAAATATACGGCATACATATTGCTTAAAGATAATAAAAACAAGTAAAAAAGCTTTAAGTTCGGCCGGGTCCACCATGTGGTACAAATTTGGCAATTTTCAAAAAATAAAATCCGTTAAAAATTTTGTTAAAATCTTAAAAATACCAAATGTAGCCGTCATATTAGGGCCCAAAGGACGACGTGGACCTGTTTAGTAAACTTTTATTAAAAGCCATTACAATATTCAAATGCGAAACTTAAAAAAAATCGGTGAATAAAGTAGCTAAAATCATTAATATAGGGAGGCACTATTATATGGGGGCTATACCAAAATGTGGACCAGCACAAGCAATTTTCTGCCTGAGGCTGAAGTATCCATTGGGGGCTATACCAAAACGTGGACCAACATGACCCATTTTCAATACCAAATGAAGTTTTATCAATCTATTCATTTCGTTCGGAAGCTAGAGTGATTTAGCAGACGGAGGGATCGCTAAATCGACATGGAATTTTATGTCATGTTTACGTTAGAACTTTTTGTAGGGTTAACCTACTTTGAGAGGATTTATTTGAAGTAAAAGTAATGGATATGACAATTTAAATCCAAATCCAGTGGGTTAACCCTCATATACATAAACGTACTGTTAAGCTGATCAAGAATATATATACGTTGTGGGGTCTGAAATGTATATTTCGAGGTGTTACAAACGGGATTGCAAATTTAATATATCCTCCATACTATGGAGGCTATACAAAAATTAAGGATACTTACATAAGCTTTGAGATACAAATTATATGTTGGTGTAAATTAGACTCCAAGGGAAGTTAAAAGTAAGAAGGTAAATTCATTTCAAATAGGCATACCCATATTCGCAAATTCTGTAATTTACCTTGTCAAATTTCACTGCATAGAAAGTAGGTAGAATAAAATCAAGGTTGGAGTATGATATTATGATATTATTTCAACTTTATTTGTTTGTGTGTGTATTCTTTTCAATAAAAAAATAGTTCAGAATATATTAAAATTCGTGTTTTTTTAATACTTGTAGCAAAACAAACCTTTAGTAGGGACATATAGAACTAGATTTTGAAAAGATATTTTCAGTTTTCGCGGTTTTAAATTATTTATTCAATTGTATGTAAAATGGCTTTAAAAAATATACATCTTGACAATGAGATGCTATCAAATGAATGATTAAAAAAAATATAAACATATGATTGCATGACTTTACCTTCTTTATTCCCCCATGGGTTTGTGCTAACATTTTCAAAATGATGACCAATGGGACCTATATAAGACTTTTTTTCGTAAGAAAAAAAAAATAATTCATATATTTAATAAATAATATTAATTAATTTTCTTATTTTTTCTTAATAAAACTGGCTCGACATTGTTAATGTACACTTTCTTCACCTATGCTGTAGAGCAGGGATTTTACCTAAAAACTTTGTTATTCTTACTTTCTGATTACAGCTATCGCGTCACAGGTATTTAAAAACAATTTTGAAGGATCTTTATAATCTAATCTAACTCAATACGCATGTCGGATAGTTTTCAGTATGCTGATATTTGTAACAAATACATAAATCGTTCTGTATTTGTGTTCTTGTAGTAGAAAGTCTTGGTTTAGGAAAATTTTAGAATTTCAATTGCTTTGAATACATAACGAGTGATAACATTATTTATATTTATACATGCTAATAATTAACACTCTTTCTTTCGTTTGCAGAAACTATTAAGACACCGAATCTGTGTGTTGTGGGGAGTTAGGTTTTTAAGTATGTAATAAGATAAACCTGGCAGAGGCATATCGTCGTTGATGAAGGAACCAAATGGTAAGTAAATAATTCTAAAAGTGTCGTTTTCAAATTGTATGTAACTTGTCATTTTTCTCTTGTAGATACATGCTGCTGAATATCATATTGTATTTTAAGGGGACATTTCAAAATTTTTGTTTTGTTATCGACGTTTCTGTTGTTGCTCTAGTACATAAATTGATAGTGCAATAACTAAAACATTAAGTGTTTAGATAAGATTAGAATTGGACAGCAAACTGTCGACTTTTTAATATGCCGGTGATTTCGCCACGCAGATCATCAACTTCAGCCAGTGGCAGTATCTACGGAACATCCTCGTCATCGGCAGCCGTCGGCCCTACAACCTCCACGGATTCATCGTCATCTTCAAGAAGTGTTTCAGATCGATACAGCAGCAGCGGCTACAAGTCATATTTGGATCGTGCAGGCAGTCTATCAAAACTTACTGGTTCTTCGTCCTCCTACAGCCCAAGTCTAAGTAGTTACTCTTCGTATTCGACCTACACACCCCGTTCTTCCACAACTTATCGCTCTTCAGCGTCTAGCCTTACTGGTGGCTCATCTGGTGTTGGTACATACCGCAGTATTTTGCCATCTTTAGGCTCAGGCAGTAGCAGTTATGATACAACTACGCTCAGCCGATATGGAGTGAGTAATTACCAAATATATATATGTATATACTGATATATTATAAAACATGTAAAATACGTAAAACCTTATGCTTTGAGGATATGTCCTCTTCCCAAAAGTTCCATCCATCGATATTATACTCCAGCGAGGCATCACCATTCCTTATTTTTTCCACTGGATACTTGTCCATCTTCCCAATGACCACTTTAACTTTTTGTATATCAAGTCTACATTTGTTTTTTTTTTTTACACAATTTTACCAATCGACAAACCGTTGGACCTTTCGACTCCTCTGTATAACTGTTTGCTAATATATAATACGCATAAGACGAGTTTATTCATTTATTGTTCGAACACTTCGTCTAAATCTACACAGAAACACCATGCATTTCGGTAATGTTACTTGCTAGATAGATAACAATATTTTTGTTTGTGTACTTTCCCAGGAAACTTTATTCAATTGCAGTATTGATACATTCCCACAGCATTGTTGTATTTGTGAACTAATGATAAATTAAAAATTTTATTTTCCTTTGCTTATTTCGTATGTTCAATGATATTTTTAACTAAATGAATGGCATACTTCCAAATGGATTGATTTTCATATCTACATGGTACATACATAACATAGGGACACACTATAATAATGTGAAGAGTTTTACTCAAAACAAAAATTGACCTTGATAAAGGGTCAATGCCATTATTTTTCTATAAATTAGAAAATATATCAGTCAAAATTTTAAAATTTTGAAAAAAATTATACAGTATTCCAAATTTCATCTGGAGTTTATGGATTAAAATTGGAATTTCCCCATAATTATTCAACACAGCTGGGAATGATTTTTCGGAATTTACTGTATTTTATATGTGACATTTATTTCTTTACACATTAGAATGTTGCTTTGTTTAACAGAGCTCCAAAATGTACCACCCCATCAACATTGACCATAGATGTGTGTAATTTATTGAATGTTGCTATCAATCAATACTTCAATTAGATCGTTTACAGTTCAGCGTAACTAATGTGGTGAAATGAAATGCCCGCTTCTTCCTTCCTTTCATTATCGTATTTAATTAACAATCACAGCATCGATCGCGCAACATCATTGTCTTTATATGTTTCATCTCATATTTACAAATTGATCTTGTCGTTTTGGGTTCATTTGTGTAAATATGTAACCGTGTCATCGTAAAAAATTTGTTCAATTTCACTACCAAACACTTCCACAACACAATGACGCCCGATATCATGTCCACCCAACCTATAACATCAATGCAAATGAAATGAAGGTGAGAAAACATGGAAAGCCTTTGGATACATTAAAAAATGACAACAATGGCCGTGAGAGCACGGTCTCCAAAAAACCACCTTCTGGTTCAGATTGTAGTGGTGCTGGCAGTGGCATCAGAGATTCGAAACGCTTGTCAGGTTCATCTTCATCCTCATCCCTGGCGCGTTTGGTTGCCACTTCTGGGCTGGACATGTATGAAAAGTACAGTCCGGCCCACTATAAACCAAATACTGAACTGTCTGGTTCTAGATCAGGGCTCAATGAGGCCAGCATCAGTAACGACATTGAGGAACGCGGCGGACGTATCGGCGACATTAGCAACAACACCAGCACAACAGCCAATGATATCAGGTCTCGAAATCGCTATAGTCGTTTGTACAGTCGCAATGACACCGATGAAACAGACAATGTCTCTTCGGCCATTAGGTCCTCCTCGGCGACAGCACTACATACATCAGCAAGTGCAGAAGATGTTCCAACTATTACGTTAAGTCGCACTCGGTTGCGTCGTGCGAAACCTACAGAGGACAAAGAAACCAAGAAGACGAGCCTAAAAAATGGTTCGACTGACTATGATAGCAAAACCACTAGTTCATTGGACAGACCGCTAATAACCAGTAATGGCATTGATACGGTCGTACATATCAAGCTCAACAAACTGAAATTAAACGACCACAATGCCAACAACGAGAGTTCGACTCCAACAACACAAGATGAAAAGAATGACACAGTGGCGACAATGGCAACCAACCATCTTAATAGCGTAGAAACACCAGAAGACAATGATGCATCAAACAAGGTAAACACAAAGGACAGACAACGAATACAATGTAAATAAATTAAAAAAAAAACAAAGAACGAATGTTTCCAATTCCCACAATTAGATAAAAAATATAAATCAATTTGATCTTTGGCTGAACTGCTCGTTTTTAAGAAATTAACACATTAGGCAAAATGAATGACATTTTAACCATGCGCATGCATGCAACTAACATGATGCACCCTTTTCCTAAGTGCAACAAAGACTTAAACCCTAAGGCTCAATTTCTAATAGTGTGTATGTAGATAATTGCAAGTGTCTCCTTACCCCTTCTGAATAGATGTTAGTGTTTTTTTGTGATCCACAAGTAATCTTAAGGGAGTGATAAACTAGCATTGATTCACATTCTTTTTAGGGTCGAGGAGGGTTACACCGAACTATACCATCCCCTCCTAGCATCTACCCATTCAATAGACACTTAACTCTAAATTCATCATTTGGTTAACTCATTAATTCATCGTGTACAGCCACCGTAACCCTAGACATCATCTCATTTTAATATAACAAAATCTTCCTTCCTTCCAGCTAATCTCTTGCAGGTCCATCAACTCCCGTTTAACAAATCAATTTAACAACCATATTACTTACCACTGAGTATGTGGGTTTCTGTGTGTGTGAATAATTGAGTGAAATAGAAACTGAAAAAAAAAAAAAAAAACAGACGTATAACAATTAAATAAAATATTTTTGTAAAAGGTCAAGAAGAAAAAACAAAGAAAGAGTAAACTCAGTGCATAAAGGAAAGTAAAAGATAAAATTCAGAATTGTTCAAAATAATGATTGACATTAAAAATACCACAAACAATTTTCAAAAATTCCCCATGCTTAAACAAAAATGTGATCCCGGTATTGTAACAACACAGGAAACTCACCTGCAACAACAACAACAGATAAAGAATATAGCAGCAACGACAACTAAATACATTCCAGCTCAACAACAAAATCATTCCGGAAAAGATATACCAACTAAACTATCTAAAACAACTGACAAGGATCCCGGTTCCAATTCGAACCCGGTAAGGAGGGCCAATCAACCATTTTTCCTCATAAATGCCTACAAAGATCAAAACTTCCTCAAAGAAGAATGTGAATTGGCCCATGCTCTAGTCGCAAAGACCACTAAAGACAGTGGCAAGCAATCTACCAAGTCATCAACGACTTCTCTACCCCAGGTTAAAGCTAATCTGCCCCTTGCCTCCTACAATAGCACATTTAATAGAAACAACAACTTGGTAAGCATAAAACCCCAGAAAAAAAACACGTTTAAGGATGTATTCTATATAACCAGTTATATCCTTAATCAAGCCACAAATTCGAGTCTTATAACAATTTCCTAATAATGTTAATTTTACTTAATTCAATTACTTAATATTTGCTTTGCTCGGCTTTAAACTCCTCAAATTCGTGGCTTGAAAGTGTTTTAAATTAGTTCGGTTGTCCACGTTACGATTTAGCAACGACCGTCAGCAGCCTTTGCTGCCACAACAAATGGGATGCGACGAACTGGTAATGGTACACATTTGGGCACAACCACAGCGGTTGCGACGGCAACTAATAAGGTTGAAATTAACTACAGCGGCCCTCAGTTCAAAGGATTGTCATCGTCGTCGCCATCGTCGGCCTCAGCTCCAGTCACATCTGCTTCCACGTCATCCAAGAAATTAAACTCGGCAATCTGCGCCACAGGGTCGAATATTAGCAGCAGCACTTTTACAACGAACAAGTTCAATATACGGAACCAAGTGAAACCTCTGGTCCATAGGAGCACGGTTATTGCCACGGGCTCTCCAGCTAATTCATTTTCCTCATCTATTAACTCCCTTCAGCATAAAAATAACCACAACATCAATATTAATAACAACAATAACGGTAGCAACAACAGTTTAAACAATATTGCGGCGACAAGTAGCGGCAATAACAACATGCAAACGTCTTTGGATCAAGACGATATAAAATTCATCGACAGCGATGAGCCACCGCCACCCGCACAGTCTACCGCCATGACCAGTGAACGCAAATCAGCACATAGTGGCTACGAACAACGCTGTTGTGTGAACGTAGCGACCTCGTCTTTGTCTAAGAGCCGCATTCGGCCAAAATCAACAATCATTTGTTCCAGCAGCCATTCTGTGTCATCTGCATCTTCCACATCTGCTGCCTGCTCCTCCTCATCCAATGCCACCAATAGCATGGTGTTTGAAAAAGTCAATAACTATAAGTATGCCAATGGTAGTTTAGGCGCCGCCGGAATCAGTTCTTCACCCATGTCGAGTTGTGTCGACAGAAGGGCAGACACAGCCATAGACCCCAATAGTATTAGGGCATCAATTGAAAAATTCAATAGTTTAAGTGAGCAAAAGCGTTTGCCTCCCAGTTCAGTCACGCTGCGATCCCACAGCGGCAGTGGCAGTACGAGTAACCTGCAACATCATCGCCACAGTAGTGACTTTGACAATTGTAATTTAAAATTCCCAAATACCGGTAGTGGTTCATTGACCCGAACACCTTATCGCAGTTCGGGAGCTAGCGCGGCGGGTAAAGTTGTTACCAGTTTGTATCCTAGTGCTTCGGCGGCAATGTCGTCGGCTTCGAATCGTCATGCCACTGTACTCAACAGCGGTCCCAACAATACTGGTAGCCTGCCATTAAAAAGTAGCAAACACTATGCTCAAGCCGAGGATACTACGTTTACGGCACTGTCAAGTTCGGTTGACGGCGATGCAAGTAAAAAGAAAATCGCATCAATTTCTGGCGGTCTCAGTGAAACCATGGATGAAACACCTAGTGTAAGTTGCACCCATCTTCTCCAAACAGTAGCCGTAAAAAAGAAAAACAAAATAGAACATTGGCTGTGCAACTGAATTCACATCTCCAAGATGCATGCTGAGTTTATGAAAGAATTGCTGCTCACCACGCATCTGGACTTTTGTTTGCTTAGAATAAAGTTGCACATCTTTTGTTTTAACTCAAATGAATATTTATATGAATTATGTTTTTAAAAAAGGGACATTTTCCCATTTTTTTTCAAATATTATTCTTTTGATCTAAACATAATGGAAAATAAGAACCCTATCATATCTCGATTACGTTCACACCAACAAAATCCCCTGAACCAAATAATTTAGAATCGGCCCTACCACCTTTCAAACACAAAACGCATCAAACATATCTTTAATCGTATCCTCATCCTTCCATCAAAACCATCATCCAGTTCACAGTTTTTAGATGAGACGCAGGATTCCATGTATTTTTTAAAGACTGGTTTTATACTCTGCGAAAAGAGGGAAAACGGGTGGGCGTATTACAAAAACAAATAATAACCATTAATATTTGTAAGAAGCCGCTACTCTCTTTGTGTTTTTACTTCTTCAGCATGCATTATATTATTGTTTATTTCGCTCTTGTTTCCTTTCGTTATGTCTTTTTTTTTTTTCGTTACAATTTCTAATTGAACAAAATACACATTCGCACCCCTTTTGAATATGTTATGATTTGTCCTAACCCGCCATCCTTCCCCTAATTTATCTTGCTACCCGCAATAGTTTTGTTTGCTTCTAAGTGACAATATGTTTTGCGCATTAACACTTGTGTTCTTGGGGCCACAGTAACAAAATGATATTTGTTGGTTTAACAACAACGTAATATTGTTTTTATAATTCTAATTGTCAATATTCCCGCGCCTTTATTAATACTGAAACTCACAATGCCTATTTTGCGCAAAATGCCTATGTATTGTTGTCTTATTTTTATTTTTTGGATTTTATTAGGTGCGTACATCTTCAGCCTTGCGAAATACTCTCCCGACCTCTTCACCAACCTCATCCCGCTACTGGGATAGGGATACCTCACGATCATCACTAATATCTTCCTCAGCGTCGCATGCCGATGAGAATAAAAAAACTGCAGTAAATGACGAAGAAACTGAAGGTGAGTTTGTAACATTTTGGTTGACTGTGTGTTTAGCATTGCTTCATTAAAAGTTTGTAAAACAACCTAGTTAGTTAGTCCGTTTGAAAAATTTTTATTTTAAATTTTCGAATTCGAAAAATTTTACTGGAAAAATACAGGGTGAGATAAAAAAAAACTGCAACAAAGTCAAACGCCATTTTACATTTTTTAAATTTTATTGAATGAAAGCAAAAAATGTCGGAAATAACATAAAAATTTTAGAATAAGTTTGAAGGCACGAATTATGGCCTTCAAACGGCCAATTAAACCGTCACACTCTGCCCGAATGTTGCTCTGCGGTATTTTAGGCCATTCCCGACGAAGCGCTTGCTTGAGGTGATAGACACTTTGGCATTTTTTAGTGTCAACCTTGATTTTCAAAATACTCCAGACACAATAGTCCAACGGATTGGTATCCGGAGATTTTGGTGGGCATTGTGCGCTGGAAATGAAGCGAGGAACCTCGTTTTTTAACCATTCTTGGGTGGCGCGTGCTGAGTCCTGTTGGAATGTCCAAGGTCTGCGGCTAAAATGTTTGCGTGCCCAAGGCTTTAATACACCCTCCAGAATATTTTCGCGATAATATTCGGCATTTATTCTGATGCCACGGAAGATTAATACGAGCGGAGAGCGACCATCGGCTGTTATGGCGACCCACACTATCACCATGGCCGGTGCTTGAGTTCTGGTGGCCAACCGCACATTTTCAGCTGACCTCTTTGGCAAGTAAACACGATAATTTTGTTTGTTTACAAACTGCTGGACAACGAATGTTTTCTCATTGGGAATAACAAATTCGGCAGTTCACCACTTTCGGCCAAGCGCAGCAAATCTTTAGCTCTTTTGGGTCTACTTTCTTTCCGTTGCGGTGTAAATTCTTGCACTTTTTGGAATTTCAATGGCTTTACAACCGAGCGGGTTTCGATCAAGTCGCTTCTTTACTTTTCGAACCATCTCTGCTGATGTTTCTATTTTCTTCCGTCCACTTGCTTGACGTCGGGCTACGCTACCAGTATCACGATAACGAGCGATTCAATCACGAATAACTTTTTTTCTTGAAAATTCTCGCCAAAATGCTTTAGTACGCTTGTAAACAATATAATGAGCTGTCACAGGAATAATTTTAACAGCTGTCGGACGAGTGGCTTAGAAATGACAGCAGTCTAAGTTGGTTGCAGTTTTTTCATCTCACCCTGTATATTTTGAAAATAAATTGTGATTTTATTTGAGTCCCAGTGTTGAAATAAAGTTTTTTTTTTGTTTATTTTTTTGTAATTGTCAATTTAAAAATTACCAGTTAAATATTTTTACAATAGTTATTTCTTGAAAATTATATCGAATGGTTTATAGGAGATATGCAGGTCTGAATCAATATCCTAAGCGTAGTCCCAATTTACACGTGTAAAGTTTTGCGGAAAGAAATGTTAGCGTTCAAGATACACAGATAAATCATAAAACATACTCTTCTTTTCCGTAAATTTTTCTTATCTGCTTACGAAAATACATGCTTGTTCAAATATTATTATATTTTTATGTATTTTCAGGATTATGTGGACTGAAAAATATCGGAAATACGTGTTTCATGAACTCCGTCATACAGTGTCTGAGCCACACGAACGAATTAACAAAATTTCTGCGGAATTACAATGCAACTAAATCCCCAACTTCAAAGGATCAGCAGATCTTGTATGGTAAGTAATTGAGTATTGTATTTTTTAATTGTTAAATAAAACATTATCACAGAGTTGTTGTTTTAAAGCATTATTGGAAGGAAAATAACTCTTGTCGAAAGAGAGACCATTGAAATAGTTGAAAGACCTTGGTGAATTCGAAACTAAAGTGATCTCCGCTCCGCTTTTCCTGGATACATTTAACTATCACTTTTCATTTTGCTTCAAAACAACAATACCAGAATTACACGCAAACGTAAAGAATTAAAAAAAAAAACTTCCTTTCGTTATTTTCAGAGTTCTCCAAACTTATTAAAGAGATGTGGACAAACAATGTGCATAGCGTAACTCCTATGGAATTGAAGAGATCTTTCTCTGCAAAACATCGTATGTACAGTGATTATAATCAACAAGACGCTCAAGAATTTCTACGATTCTTTTTGGACTCACTACATTGTGCGCTTAATACTGGTGTTAAAGGCGAAGCCCTCAAAATAGATGATAACTTAAGGTACGTAAAATTATATTTGCATGGAGCTTTTGTACTGTACTTTAAACATTTTTCTTGTAATGCAGTGACAATAAAAAGGCCGAACTTACGTGGGAGTGGTACAGCCGCTTGGAAAACTCTCTCATACGTGATTTGTTTGTGGGCCAATTGAAAAGTACGCTACGCTGTACCACCTGCGGCAATACTAGTGTTACTTTCGATCCCTTCTGGGATTTGAGCGTGCCATTGCCATCGTCGTCACGTTGCAAACTAGAGGCCTGTCTTGATTTGTTTATAAGAGAAGAGGTTTTGGATGGGGATGAAATGCCAACTTGTTCTAAATGCCAAACAAGAAGAAAATGTACGAAGTCCTTCACTATCCAACGATTTCCCAAATATCTTGTTATACGTGAGTCAACCAATAAAAATACCTCGATTATTCAACTTATTCTCATGGATTTATATTGTTGCAGATTTGAAACGTTTTTCTGAGACACGTTGGAGTAAACTGTCCAATATTGTTGAGTTCCCAACCGGAGAACGGGAGCTAAATATGGGACCTTATGGTGCAAATGCCAATTCAAATATGTACTTTTCACTTTATGCTATTTCAAATCATATGGGTAAGTAACAGTAACAGTAAACAAATATTTTTTTACGACAATAAAAAATTTAAAACGGGAAGAGTTTTGGGATTCACAACATTTGGTCAGAGTTCTTCTAGTAATAAGGCATGTGGAAATTATGATAGATTTTTGATTATCATGCCTTAAGACAGTGTACCCTATGTATTGGGTAAAAAGGTAGATCAAAATATCTAGAATTTAGACTGCGTATATGTTCGTCCTTAGAGATAATATAATCAATTAGGAAATACTTAAACAGTTCAACGTAATAGGGACATATAGGGACTTTTGTATATTTCTAAATCTTGTATGTCTCAGAGTGGTATTAGACAGTATTTTGGTTTTATCTACCACATTTGCATCTTTCTCTTGATATAGCTTTATAATTGATCCATTTTTAAGTACTACAAGTATGTAAAATTTTTTACTACGATAACTGAGTTTTCCTTTATGTTATAGAAAAAATGAAAATCTGGTAAATTCTTGTAGGTTATGGAACAGAGAAAAAATTGTCTTAAGTGAATTAATATGAATACTTCCATAAAATGTCAAACTTTTCTGAACAGTCTTCGTGTAGATTTAGCAATTTATATCTAGTAGAAGACTGTAACTGTTACGTCAGCCTTAAAATGTTATATTTAAAAGAAACACTCGGATTAGATTCAGATTCTCAGTTTCTTCTTCGTCCTGACAAAGCCTACAGTATTCAGTGTCGTCACACACCCCCTCTCCCCCCAACATTTGGATGTCATGTCCTTTATGTTGCGGTGTCCTGTAATTAGGACAATGGATATGAAGATCTTCTTTCTCCTGGAAATGACGATCTCACCTTGATCTCCTTTCGGAGTTCACCGGCCAAATCTTATTGGAGACATTACACCCGTTCCAGTTAGCCAGTTCCGTTGAAATTTTCCAATATAATGCTTATGCAGTACTTGGAAAAAGGGACATTAAGATGAAGAACTGAACACCTTTTTATGAATCTATATGAACGGTTAACAGGATACAATAAAAGCCCTAGTTTATATTGAAAAATGTGAAATGGGAATGGGAAATGTGGAAAAATTTGTTGTTTCGAAGAAGTGCATAAAAGTCTCAGTGTTTTAATCTTAGTTTTGCTTAACAACTCTGTTTTCCTTGTATATTGTGAACAGTGTGCATTTTATACATCGTAGCATCTAACCTAGTTATATACTTCTTAATTGTTTTCTTTTAGGCTCAACGGCCGGTGGTCATTATGTCGCTATTTGCAAACATCCTGTCTCAAAGAAATGGCATGAGTTCAACGACAACCTGTAAGTTATCAAAGACATTTGTTGCTTTTTTATATTTTAACAATTATTTTCTTTTCCAGTGTCAGTGAATCATTGTCTGAGCATCATCTTGTTTCGTCCAGTGCCTATATATTATTCTATGAGCGTGCGTAAATAAATGTAGGAAAATTCTTCAGAGTTAGAATATTTTAACCACGGATATTCTCTGCGACAACATTAAAAATTAACGAAATTATTTAGTGACGAATCAACTGCAATTTAATAACATCAACTAAAACAGCATGTATAGTCTGCAGTGTTTCTAAAAATCTAATAGTTTGTGTCACCAAAACAACGGATAAAATGCAGCGTTTTTTTTTTCAGCTTTATATGATGTTTTGGTCCATTATGTTTGGAAGTGTTTTTTTAAATCAATTTTTATATATTTATTACATTATTGTTATTATTTCATAAGAAACTACTTTATTTTTTATGAAAATGGAAAACATACAGATACACACCAACCACATCATGATAAGCAGAGTTTAACCGTAACAACCGCTTTTGGCTATATTAATCATAAACAGGCTTTTTAAAATAGTTTATATTACAGCGTTTGTTTGAGTACCATGAAAACAAACACGTGCAATGTTTTACGGATCCTTAGTTATTATTGATTTTATAATTGAAAAAAAAAAAAGAAATGAACACGACAAATGTTAGATATATTTGTTCCACTTTTGGGATTTTGGCAAATCGATTACGGGTACCCATACATGCAATATGTATGTAGTCAGATGGAGAATTAATAAGTCTATGAGAACAAAATTTATTAGAAAACGCAGTTGAAATTACTTACAAATCAAACACAACAACAACAAAACACATACAATGATTAACGTTTGAAACGAAACGTATGTGACTGATAGGAGCTATATAAATATATATATCTACATGAGTAACAATATTATTTATTTGCATTCTAATGCTAATATTTATTATTAACAAATAAAAAAACACACAGACAAAACACACATATATGTATGAAACTAATGACAAACTAAAAAAATTGCGCCATTCATTGTCTTTGACAATTATAATATGTGCTAAACGAAGAAGATGAAGAAAGACAATTTCTGTTTATACATACAGCTAGTTAAAAGAGGATAACATAGAAAAAAAAAAAAAAACAAGAAGTAGAACAAGCAAAAAGTGCATATATTTTTGAGATCAATTTTATACGTTTATCTTTCTTGCTGCAAGTAATATGTCTTAAGCTAACTAAAACATTTAGTATAAAGTCCCATCAATCCTTGGTCATTGTCACCTTTCCTACGACCGACCGATCGCCCGCCCGCCCGCTATCTGAAGAATCTATGGAATAATGATGAATATAGTTTTATGAAACTATTGAAATTGTTTGTGTTATGTTTATAATTGTTGTTATTTTTTGTTTTCTTTATGTTTTTATGTTTAATGCCGCCAAATGCTATGCCCCTCCCCCCCTTAACATACAACTCAGTTTGGAACTGTTGTAACTATCTAAATAAGATTATCTATTTATTGTATTTGATTACTGTTATTATTTATTGATTATTTTGTTTTATGTGTAGACTATAACTTAAAAAAGATGTGAAACTATCATGAATGTAATTACCGACAAAAATAGATTATATAAAGCGAAAACAACAACAAATCACACTTTTATATTTACTATAGATATATATGTACTACTTACCTATCCTACTAAATTATACCAATAGACAACGCTGATATATGGCATTTTGAATGCCAATTCACACACACCCACACTCACACACACACATCAACATGGCTACACCCAATTACTCTCAACAAACCTATATACATATATCCAAAAGAAAAAGGAAAAACAACAAGAACACAACAAGAGATGCTTTATTTTACTTAATTTATGTAATTATTATTTTATTTATTTATTTATAAACAAAAGTTGTTTGATATTTAAAAAAAAAAGAAAAAAAAAAATGAAAAATTAACTGTTTTTGTAATTTTTTGTGTTTTTTGTTTTAGTTAATTTTTTTTGAATTATGCAACACAAATGCTTAAATTCTTCAACTGTATCATACATTTTAATGAAAACCCTCATTTTGTATCCTTATGTGAAACAACTAATACATTAAACGTCTGTCCGTAAAAACCAAATAATTAATGACCCAATTGCAATAGCCATTCGAGGCATAAAATGATGTTTAATTTTCTTGCCGTGGTTATTTTTTCCTGAATGGTCCGGTCCGTCCCATGAAATATTTACCACTTTCGACAATTTTAACTTTTAACTTGTTCAATCCAGTGAAATCCATCTGAGTTACCGACGAAGTAGATTTATTTGTTCTCATTAAGCTGTGTTTTTATCTAAAACACAACTCTCTTCTTTTGCATATTGCAACGTGCAACTGAACCTTATCCTTCTCTTTCCTTTTAGTTATTGCATAATATTCCCATTTATAACGAAAGATAATTTTTTTTTAAATTTATATTTGAAAATAATTTCACCGTTTTTACAACAATCTTCTCCGCGTAAACATTTACTTGTTGACATTTCAGAAACAAAAAAGAAAAACCAATTACTTCGAACTAAGCATAAAGAAACTAAACAATTCATAAGAGTCAAGTCAATACCAATTAAATATAATGCTAAATTTTATTAAACAAAAACAAATCTCTATATTAATAGTAAATTCGAATGATGTAAACGTATAAATGCAAAAGCAAATGAAAAAAAATTAAATATTAAAATACAGAGAACAGAACTTTATAGATAATAGGTACAATTGCTAAATGAAAAAAAAAAAAGAAATTAAAAATACAAATTACAAAAAAGTGAATAATACAAGTAAATATAATAAAGAAAGTAATAAAAATTTAACAACCCATTGTATTTTATTGCGGAATGCACAATCTGAAACATGCAATCACAGTTCATCGCGAAGTTGAAAATCCTTGGCTGGAACATGGGGTTTGAGATTGTTCCAGAAGTCAACTCTTTGCTGATAAAGTTCTCGGTCGTGTCTCAGCATTTCTACTTCTTCTTCGTTTTTACTACCAATTTTGGCAAAAGTTACGGGATAAGTCTCAGTGGGTTTCCATGTTGATAGATTCGATGTCGAAGGTGTTGGATTACTGTAATTGTTGATAACAAAGGCTGATTGTTTACAAGTCAAATCTAATGGTTTAATTCGTCACCTTACCTTGTTTTGGCAAAGTTCACCCACAATTCAAGCATAATTTCTCTCACTTTCAAGTCCTTTTTGGTCGGCGAAGCACTTACAAACAGGCTATGAGCAATTGGGAATAAATATTGCAATTCTTCGGCATGACAGGCACCTATTGGAATTATTTAAAATTATTACAGTTTGTTTAAATGTCGTATTTTGTCTTTTTTTGAGTTACCATAATAATCTTCGCGGCCACCTTTAAATAATTCGGAGAAACTTGCAGCACCCTTATGTTCAAATAAATAAACAAAAGTTGGACCAACTCCCTGCGGATTCTCCTTGCGATTTTGAATGCGTAAACGTATGTATTCATCAATGCCTGCTATAAACCAACCATCAGATATAAGCTGTAACAAAAAAAATAAGGAGAATGCGTTAAAGAGAGAAAAAACTGGTGTCCTCTATCAATTGATGTTGTTGATACTCTATTTTAATTTTCTATTGATACTCTATTAATGTTGGAAAAAAAATCTGAATTAAGTTAGTTAGGGAAATGTGTTGTGGAAGAAAAATTTAAAATTATCAATGATGAAAACTTATTACATATTAGAAAATCAAACGTGGTGTCCTTCGGAGAATCTTAGTTTGTCTACATAATGATAGTCACGAGGGAGCAACACTATCTATTCAAACATGCAAGGAGTCGTTGTACTTACATCGGTTATATTCTGATGATTGAATTTATCATAATCGTGACCATTTTTCAGATAGAATTGTATTAGTTTTCGATTGATCTCCTCCTGTTCGGACTTCTTCAAATGGTCGTAATTAAGAATTATTGGCAGAACTTTATTGAACTTGGTTTTGAAGTCCTCCAGCACATGAGGGATATTTAAGAGTGCTGCTGTTTTCAACAATCCCTCCTCTGATGTGGCTCCAATCATAAGCGGCAGCTTAAGGCCATGGGGTGGTGGTGCTGTACGTGGCAAAACTGTTAGGAAGGCATCAGGGTGATCAGGTTCAACAACCGGTGGGAATGGTATCATGGGGTCAAAATCCCATTCCTAAAAAATACACAGAGATCATAATGTCATGATTCATTTCAATATTCCTCACTTCAAATGAGTCGTTTTAAATATCCCATCCTCAATGTAAACCCTATACTACTTACAAATAAATCATAAATTGTTGCCACCACATCGTTCGCTGGCTTCTCTCTTAGGCATTCCAACATTTTCGGCCAATTACCATCACTTGGGCATCCCAGAAGTTTGGCCATTTTCCTAGCTCGCTGTGCGGGTACTCCTTTATGGGCTGGCTGTGCCCATGGATTGAAGTATGTTCCAGATTGGGCAATGCCTTTATGAAATAAGCCTTTAGACTTTTCCGACAGCATGTGGTATGTTACACTGGCACCACCCGCACTTTCCCCGAATATCGTAACACTCTTCGAATTTCCACCGAATGCAGCTATGTTTGTTTGTATCCACTTCAACACTTCCAATTGATCCTTTAATCCGAAATTTCCAGGACAATCTATAGATTCGGTGCTCAAAAATCCAAGCGGACCCAAACGGAAATTGGCCGACACTAAGATAATATCGTGATTGAGTAAAAATTCAGGACCATAGAAACTGCTGATGCCGGAACCACATTCCCAGCCACCGCCATGGAACCAAACCATAACGGGTAATGGTTCATCTGTCTCGGGCTCCTGTAATGAATAGTGGGTTGCATAACATTGTTTCTTTCATAAACGATAAAGTGAGCCACAAATGTAGAAGGTACTTCAATCGAAACCATTTAATAGATCTTCTTGAAAAAATGTGGCAAAAATATTTGGTGTATAACTGAAGTACCATCACTTCAGTGGTCTATGGTATGCACAGTACCTCCGGTGTATAAACATTTAGATATAAACAATCTTCACTGCCCTCCATTTCCATATCCCGTCGGAAGGGATCACGTTGTGTACATTTTGGAGAATCTTCGATGACCTGTTTTTCTCCACTCCATGATCGATATGGAACCGGTGGCTGAAAGAAAGGTCATGAAAGAGAATTATAAAAATGTTTGCAAATGTAATCATCTTTAAGTAGAAAATAGTTGGAGGTATTTAGTGATCCTGGAGAATATTTGTATATTATTCGCGTACATTTATTGGCATAAGATTCGATCTTGATGCCGTCTGAACCTTATGAATTTCCGGAAAGATAGGGGCTTAAAAGTTCTGGAGGCATCACCCATTTTGGGATGCCTGTCTCTGTCTTTGCTGCGTTTATTTATAAATAAGAGTATAATTTACACTGTGCAACAAATTTTTTTTAATTATAAGATCGGTAATTATAAGATCGATTTAAAAATAAAACATTTTTTTCAAAAAACTAGGCCTTGGAATGAGTGTTTCAAAGCGGCTAAAGAAAACAAAATATTACTTCACTGCCGATAATGACCGTCATAAATTGCTTAGTATTTTTATTCGAGTTGATTTTCGATAAACAATCATTTTTTGTTTGTTTTGCAAATGTAATAGTTTTGTTTTTTATTATCAGGTATGATAATTTTAAAATAGAATTGTCAACTACGAGTAGTTATCAGCAAAGTAGAAAAAAAATGTTTTAAGAAACTCCTGTAGAAATATATTTCAAATATATTTAAAATATATCTATATTTTCTTATATTTGTTAAGCATACAGGGTGAGATGAAAAAACTGCAACCAAATTCTGACTTCTGTTATTTCAAAGCCACTCGTCCGACATCTGCTAAGATTATTCCATGACAGCTCATTATATTGTTTACAAACATACAAAAGCATTTTGATGAGAATTTTCCAGAAAAAAAGTTATTCGTTATGAAATTCAAGCGTGATAGATAGAATTTGGCTGGAAAACCACAAGTGGCTATCGCTAGAGCACTCCAGCATTTAAATGTGTCTCGCGTAGCCCGACGTCAAGAAAGTGGACGGAAGAAAACACCGAATCAGCAGAAATTGTTCCAAAAGTAAAGAAGCGACTTGATTGAAACCCGCGTCGCAGTGGCCGATGGCAAATGGCTCGTGAGCTGAACATATCACAATATTATATTCAGCAAATATTGAAAAATGAGCCATTGAAATTCCAGAAAGTTCAAGAAGTTACAACGCAACAGAAAGAAAATAGACTTAAAAGAGCTATAGATTTGCTTCGCTTGGCCGAAAGTGGTGAACTCCCGAATTTGGTTTTCTCCGATGAGAAAACATTCGTTGTCCAGTAGTTTGTAAACAAACAAAATGATCGCATTTACTTGCCAAAGAGCTCAGCTGAAAATGTGCACCTCCGGTTGGCCACCAGAACTCAAGCGCCGGCCATGGTGATGGTGTGGGCCGCCATAACAGCCTATGGTTGCTCTCCGTTTGTATTAATCGACCGTTATAGTACCGCGAAAATATCTGGAGAGTGTATTAAAGCCTTGGGCTCGCAGACCTTGGACATTCAAACAGGACTCAGCACCATCGCACTCAGCACGCGCCACCCAAGAATGGTTGCAAAATGAGATTCCTCGCTTTATTTCCAGCGCTCAATGGCCACCAAAATCTCTGGATACCAATACGTTAGACTATTGTGTCTGGAGTATTTTGGAAAGCAAGGTTGGCACTAAAAAATACCAAAGTGTCGGTTACCTCAAGCAAGCGCTTCCCCGGGAATGGGCCAAAATACCGCAGAGAAATAGTCGAGCAGCGTGCGACGGTTTCATTGGCCGTTTCAAGGCCATAATTCGTGCCAAAGGTGACCAATTCGAACAAACCTAAACTTATTGTAGAATTTTATGCACTTTCCGACATATTTTGCTTTATTCAATAAAATTTAAAGAAAAATGTAAAAATTATGCCGTTTGACTTTGTTGCACTTGAAGGCTATATAATTATTGTTATCAGTCATATTGCCAAATACACCATGTACTTTAAATAAAAGAGCTTAAAAAATCTTAATTAAAAAATTTCAAAGCGCTCATACTTATGATGACTATGTTGGATTTTTCCGATTTACATTTTGTTATAACGGTTTCGACCGATTTTAGGTATTTTTAAGGTTCCTCTCGATTTTATGTCACACCATTTAACGTGAACAAAATATTTGATATAGGTTTATGCTATGGTTTATGGTTTATTTATCAAAAGTAAAAAATATAATAATTCAATTAACTTGTTAACGATACAAAAAGCAGATTCGTTAACCCACGTAGCGCTAAACTTTTGTTGCGAACATGTAACATTTAATAGAACAAGTAATATTTTTCCATAATCTATAAATTTCATTACTTTTCACATCTTGTTATAACCTACAACACTATGTGTTGTGGGTATTATAATTTTGATTGGGCTAAAAATTATGTAACACCACGAAATATTGATTTCCCACATAGGAAAGTATATATGGATCTTCCTATCTCGCCGAGCTGAGTCGATCTAGCGTCTGTCCGTCCGTCCGTCTGTCCGTCTGTCCATGTTAATTTGTAATCACTCTACAGGTCGCAATTATGGCCCGATCTTCACGAAATTTAAAATGTAGGTGGGGTTAATGTCAGAATAGAACCCTATTTCTTTTGGAGATGATCGCCAAATGTTTAGGGGTTGAAATGGACCAAATACTGAAAAAATGTCGGATTTTGCAGTAGCTATACAGGTCGCAATTATAGACCAATCGAATTTCGCATGTAGCTAGAGTTTAGGGCGGGGAAGAAGCCTACCAATTTGGGTGGTCATCGGATAATTTTTAGCGGGTAAAATAGACCATATATTTTGTGTTGAAAAAATTCAAAATTTTTCATTAAACCGCGAATATTTTAAATCCCGGCGAAATCACAAGGCCATGACAAGGTTACTTTTGATCTTTACATTGATGTTAACATCCAACAAATCGGATATATAGCAAAATATGTGCGATATATATGTCTATCAAAGAAGATATGCTTGAAAGATCTCTTATATTTCGAGAACGGCTGAACTGATTTCGACAGTTCTCATTAATTCAGAATGGCCTCTTGGCAGGAAAGAAAAAACGTCTAAAAAAATCGCCTAAAAATATCTCCCTTAAGATGAAAATATTGATTTTGTAAAATTTTCTCATATTTTTTCAATTTTGTCATATTTTTGGCATATTTTCATTTTGAATTAAACATTTGGTAATATTTCTACAGCTAACAAAACTAAGTAGTTAGGATATCAGGATATCATATACAGATCGCATTTATGGCCCGATCCTTGCGAAATTTTGCATGGGGATAAGATGAGGGTCAGAATAGAAGCCTACTCTTTTTGGAGATGATCGTCATATATTTAGGGGTTGAAATGGACCAAAAAACTGCAAAATTGTCAGCAGGTCGTAATTATCGCCCGATCCTCAGGCACATTTGAATGGGGATTACCGGGCATTGCAAAAGCCAAGCAGTTTTGGATGGCCATCCAAAAATATTCAATGTGTAAAGGAGTTTGCCAACTTTTGTAGACAAAATACGAAAATGTCTATTCCAGTGACTTTTTGGAGAATTCACAAATACAGGAAAGACACACTTCTGACTATTTCGTTAACGCTGATTTCGTTGAAGAATATAGTCAAATGTCTGTATCTCATACAGATGCGTTTCAGTCAAAAACCAATAATAAATGTTAATCTTTTGCCACTTCTGAGAGATTATGGGTCTTTGGGAAATATTGGTTCCAGATCTAGGAAGACCATTTATGGGCAACATCTACCAATAAATTGGAAATGAGCAAATTAGTTTAAGTTGCTATTATTCGAAAATTAGAGAACGAAACCTGATGGTTTTCTTTTATTATTTGTCACAATATCTTGTAGAATTCTTTGGAGTATCTCGCCTATATAAACTGTATCGTTTATTATAGTGTTGTAGGGTATTCAACGGTCGGCCCCGCTCGACTGTAGCCTTTGCTTACTTGTTTTTTTGTGAATTTTATAAAAACAACAATAAAAAAATTTATAAAAATGTTTATAAAAACAATGACTATTTTGAAACAACAAAATACTACGTATCCCGAACAAACACACCAACACTGTTCTGTAAATTGTTAATATAATTGAAATGTTATTATTTTCCAATGATTTTTTTTATTTTGTCTTGGAGATGTTGATGAAAACTCCTAAAGCCACACAGTCCAATTGCTTGATGTACACATGACTATTTCCCTATATATATTATATGTATCTCAAATTTTTAATATTCTCAATGCGAAACCGAAAATAATGTTTTTTCAAACACTTATCATATAAGTTATATATTGCCACGACAGTCAAATTTTTTCATCCAATCATTTGTAAATTAATTATATTTTTGGACGGAAGAACCGGCTTTTTTGAACACCATCTTTAGCATTTTTAATTATTCATTTGAAAATGATATCCAATTTGTATAATATTCAATGTATATGTATTCATGTACGTAACTTCCAAATCTTGAAAATTGATTAATAAATTTTTGCCTTTAGGGTCACACACCAAACACTTATTTGTTGTAGATCGAAATGAAATTTTAATTAACTTATTTTATGCACTGGCGGGAACTGTTTTCTAAAATATTTTCACAACAACATTTTCAGACCTTAAAACGTAATTTTCCCACAGGTGGTTCAGCATATGGTACTCCCATAAAGGCTCGCATATGTCGACCTTTGTTCGTTATCAGATGACGGCCCACAAGTACTCCTCCATGTGGGAGTTGAACTTTCAACTGCGGCGATGTACGGGCCTCACATTCGAATGGATTGAACAGTGCAAGTAAAGTTATTGTTGCAAAACTCAGAACGAATTTGAATGCGCAAAAGGTACTGATCCGCCGATCGCGATCACCGCACGTAAACATCTTGCGCGTACTTATTTGGAACTCAAACTGGAGATTGCAAAGTCCGAGTTAGTAGTTTAATACCAATATTGGCTGGGTGGCTGACTGACTGGTTGCCTGTAGTCATTCAAGCCCAAGAACGACCGTACGATCCGACAGCAGAGTGTGTGTGTTAGAATCTTGAAGTTAACAGTATTCGGCGAGAGAATTCCATATTCGATAGACATTTATTTCCGAATTTGTTATTCGACATGCGAAGATCTCTGGGCTTTTATCTTTTTGACAGAATTTTGGGAGAGTAGTTTGTTGTTGTTTCCATCATTTGTTCATCATGCCACGCTGGTGAGAAGTAAACAAAACAGTTTAAAAACAAGAGCTGATCAAACACTCGTCAGTATTGAAATAAGTACAGGTTTAGTTTTTGATTAACAGACGCTCATTAACAAACAATCTGTGATGCATTAATTATTTTTTTGGCGTTGTTGTGTGTTCTGAACTAGTATTAAGTAAATTACGAATATGGCAATAAAGTTGCAAATATTTGGTAATAAAATGTTTGAAAAGCTAAAATGTAAATTATTCATTGTTTCCTGAGCAAATTTTGTCTAAAGCGTGAACATTAGATCTAAAGCAGAGTTTTTGTAACAATAAAAAAATAAAGGCAAATTGAAACAGGGGAAACGGGAATAACTTGAAAACCAAATCGAATGTACACGAAGTCCTCGGAATTGGGAAATGGCGTTATAGATGTGCAAAGATGTGTGTGGTAGATGTGCAAATATCTATAATGTTGAATATATTCTTCTATCAGTTACGACACAAAAATAACAAATTGCGGCCGATTTAATTAAAAAAAGGCGATCAAGACTTTCAAAATATCAATTAATATGAGATTCTGTGGTTTTGGGGGCTGTACAAAATCTGGAAATAAAATGGGGCACTACCGCTACATGGGAATCGTATGAAAATTTGGACCAATATTGAAACATTTCCATCTAATGAGAATCCAAGTAGGCAAATTACAGTCAATTCCGCTGAAAATCGACGTTTCAACATTCGAATATTAGGAGGTGCCGCTATATAGGTCAATAGTGGACCTTTTTACACATATCTATCATTTCACAGATGATTTGTCTCTAATTGGGGCAAAAAGGGAGACGCCAAATCATGGACCGATTTATATTATTTTTAATAATAAACAATCTAGTAGTAATATAAAAATAATAATAGTAAAAACCAGTAAAGAAAGTTTAAAGTCGGGAGGGGCCGACTTTATGATACCCTACACCACTTTGCTTATTTAGTAGAGCTGCGCATAACAATTAAAAGCAATTAAAAAGCTATGATTATAATTATAATTTAAAGTTCAAAGGACTAAATATGCCGAAGCATTTGTATCTTTTAAATTCGGACTTGTATTGCCCATTTGGTGCACAATTAATTTGAAATCGGATAAAAATATATATGGGAGCTTTATCCAAATCGGAACCGATCTCGATAAAATTTATTTCTGAGCTGTATTTGATATATTTCCCTGAATATCGTTGTTACGGAGTGCATATTACGGCTGTGGGTAACAAATGTGACAAATCGGATGAACAGTATATATGGGAGCTATAGCTATATCTGAACCGATCTTCACCAAATTTGACATACTTCTAGACTCAATTTGGTCGTAAGTGCCAAATTTCATCCAATTTGGGCAAATATTAGACGTTTGGTGCGCAATGTAAATCGGACGAAGTTATATATGGAAGCTATATCCAGATCTGAACCGATCTCGATAAAATTTAGCAAATGTATTTCTGAGCTGTATTTGATATATTTCCCCAAATATTGTTGGCACAGAGTGCATATTACGGCTGTGGAGGACAAAAATAACAAATCGGATGAACAATATATATGGGAGCTATAGCTATATCTGAACCGGTTTCGATAAAATTTGGCATACTTATTTTTATGTCCAATCTGATCGTACGTACAAAATCCATACTATTCGAGCTGATATTACACGTTTGGTGCACAATAAAACGGCAAATCGGACGAAGATATATATGGGAGCTATATCTAAATTTTGACCGATTATCTCCAATTTCAATAGGGTTCGTCCTTGGGCCAAACAAATGATTTGTGCAAAATTTCATCTGGATAGGGCAATAAATGCGAACTGTACTTTGTTTACAAAAATACATGGACAGACGGACGGACATGCATAAATCGACTCAGAATGTGATTCTATGCCGATCATTAAAAGGAACTATGGGTCTATCCCGTTTCCTTTTGCCTGTTACAAACAAATGCACAAAGACATAATACCCTGACCGATATCGGTTTTATTTTACAATGAACGTTTATTGTGTGAAAAATAATTTAAAATATTTACATCACATCATCTACCAAGCAGTTGTTTTTAAAAATGGATAATTCTTATTCTTTCCAATATCGGATAAACTCTAAAAAAAATGTCTGGACTGGACTCTTGGGTTATCGAACAACATTTTATACTCAGTTGCCAAAATTATTGGGTTATAGTATACATCTTCTATTTTTCCATTGGCCTTGTGATTTGTTGTATGTAAAATATATGATAAAGTCAAAAAGATAATGATTATTTACTTATAGGCTTATCTGTAAACCTGATTCAAGTTTGCTCCAATTTGCATTCTAATTTCATATTTGTTTACAACAAGACAAGACAAATTGCTTTTAGATATTTAAATAGAGAAAAACGATTTGACCCACATTGTTAGCTCAAGTCTACTATAATGTTTGTGGGCCAATTTTTAATTACAACGTCAGTTAGTTACAATTACACCACACCCTTTTGTCTTTCTGTATTTAATATCAGAGGTTTATATGAACCCTTTAATCTAACTTAAAATATATAAATGTGTACAAACAAATTAATGTTTTCTCAAAACGAAATTGACAGCTTTGCAATATTTCCTGATCGCTACAAACATCATACTTGTTTCGATAGTGTGAGACAAATTTTTCAAACCATGGTTTACAAATATTCCGGCCGTCACCAAAATCATCAAAATATCTGAAATCCAAAACATGAACCAATATCGTACCATGTGCAACCCGAAAAGTAATTACAAAGAAAACAGAGTAGAATAGAGCTGGTATATTCTATGGATACAGTTATTTTTTCCGAAACTAACGATGACATTTCATTTGGAATCTTTTTTCTCTTGACACTATCCCTTCACTTTAAAACTTTTAAAATATTTTGTTTTTTGTTTTGTTTTTGTAAATATAGAAGACATGCCTTTGGTGATTTAAGAAGAATTCTGAAATCTAGAATAAAATTTTATGTCAATGAATTTTATGGAGCATTTTTATCTGAATGGAGTTTTTGAAGAAAAGGGCCATCAATAATATTTCCCGAATTTTTGCCAATAATAGTGCGGAAGACCTCATACTTAAAATCCAAGGATTTCAAGGAATCTTGACCCGAATATTTTAAAAAAATTATAGATGGACGGAACTTCTCTGTCCTATTTTGCTTACTATGCGATACAAACTATCAAAATACCGATGCACTGTCTCATATTTTAATACCCCAGCCATAAGACTACAGGGGGTATACCTGCCAAAACGTACCTCATCGATATATTGGTTTTATATCCCAGGCCTCTTTAGACCAAATCCGTTTCAGGACATTTGGAGTCGATCTCGGGGTGTCCTTCCATCGATTTGGTCCAAACTTGATACATCATAATATTATTATCAAATATAGATCGAGTAACTTCATAAAAAGAGAAAGGATCATCTGATCAAACTTTGCAAATCCTCATATTTGCATTTGTAGGTCAAGGCGGAAAATGGTCAATATCGGCTCCCTTCATCAAGTACCTCTACCACAAAGGGTCAACATTTTGAATAATTATAACTCTTATAAAATGTGAAATAAGAGTCCGATTGTCTTCAAATTTCGCACATATCAATATTTCCACTAGCACTAGAACTGGCATGAAGATGAATCAGACCTTCCAGGAACTCCTCCATTATGGGTCAACATTTTGAATAACCATTAAGCTTATAAAACTCGAAAGGAGCATCCGATTCCATTCAAACTCGGCACATTCCAATGTTTCTATCAATACAAGATACTGTATGAAGACCAAATATATCAGTCCACTTCTTCTGGTACCTCCCACAACACGGGCCAACATTTAGAATAACCATGAGGTTTGCAATACGCGAAATGAGTATCCGTTTATCTTCAAACTTCCCACATTCGAATATTTCGTATAGATTGGTCAACTTTTTCTAGGGCCGAAATTTAAATTAACAAAACGCTCATAAAATGCGAAATAAACATCAGACCCTCTTCAAAATTCACACCTCCCAATATTTTTACAAACACACGATCTGGTATGAGGGTCATAATTTTGTAATATGAATATCATGTGAATATGGAATTTATCCATATGGTACCTCCCGCACAAATGGTTTACATTTTGATAAACAATTATTAACAATTGGAAATAAATTTCAGGTTTTCTTTAAATGTTGCACACCTCAATATTTCTATCAGAATAAGATGAAGTGGAATACCTTAGTGCACTATATCCTCACGCACATTTCAATACTTTCCAAAAATTATAACATTTTTTATACAAAGTGAATAAAGTATTTTGAATCTTGCACGTTTTAATATTTATATAAGACAATATTCACCCACTTCTTCGGAACCTTGCCCATAAAGACTAAACAGTTTTGAATAATCACAATGCAAGTCAAAATATGTTTGAATAAATGAACTTTGACTGAGGGCAATACCGACTCATATTTTTAAACACGTTATCTCTATTTTCATTATCTCTTCGATTCTTCCTATAATTTTGGATAGAAAGATTTTGTCGCACAGTGTTATTTCGATGAGTTACAGGTTATTATACCCTCCATACAGTGAATGGTGGAGGGTGTTTTCATTGTTTTTCATGAAAAATGTTAATGTAGCCTAACTACAGCTCCTAAAAACAAATTTCTATTTTCAATTTGAATATTCAATACACATACACAGGTAGGTATGTGTGCAGACAACAGTCATGACAGTCAAAAACAATGAGTAAAGATTGGGATCCAGGATTAACTTAATAGGTCTTTAAT